GCGCCGGTTCGATCCCTGGCTGCTCCCCGGCCACCGGAGGAGGGTCCCACATGGCACGCAGACCTCTCCTGCCGCCCGCTGCTCCCCTCAGCAGTGTACTTCGGTCCTTCTGCCTGCTCTGCTCCCCGCTCTGGCTCTGGTGAATTCTCTCACCCTCCCGCGCTTCTGACTGTACCCAGTGCATGTATAAAACAAAACAAGCAAACAAACAAACAAATAAATAAATAAATAAAAAGCATGCCTCTATAAAAAAAAAATAGGGGGTGAAGGCCTCAACAGATTCCTATTGATGGAACTTTTGATGGGTAAAAACAATTTTACTACAAAGCACTGAATAGACTGTTGGAGATACACTTGACTTTTCCTAAGTTTTGACATAATACTGGAAATGTTGTTGCATTTTGTTCTGATTCAACAGTTTTCTTGTTTTGACTGACCAGGACCTGCACCAATGTTAAATTATTTTTTTTTCTTTTTTCAGCAGAGTTAACTTGCGCTTGCGTTTTCTTTCCCCTTGATACCAACACAGCATGAAAATGGTGGTAGTAATTTTTACTATTCCTGTCAGTGTCTATTTTTGCATAACTATAGGGATTTTGTCTGCTTAAAACAAAAACAATTGGAGATGAGTTTCATTGTGTGGCTTTGAGTGGAGTTCTTTCAGGAAGTTGAAACAGAGCTGAACAAGAGGAGAACATGTTGCTTTGTTTGTAGGGTTCCAGAGACCTCCAAAGAAGATGAGGAAGTTGCCTCCATTGGCAGGACTGGACAACCCCAAAAATGAAAAAGCCCTTGATACCCTCAAGAAGAGGAAGCCCAGGTGGAGTCTGGCGAGACCAACTTTGTTCTTGAAGCCGAAGTGGATGTCAAGAGTTTGCTCTGATGCTATATGGAGTATTCCAACAAAGTGAGCTAAAATTGCTGTTTGGTTATTCTGCTCTGATTTTATGCAAAAATGGGTAATATGGTTTAAAAGGTAATATGCCTTTTGGTCGTGGACTGGTTGACACAGATGTGGGTGAGAGACCTGTGGGGAGGTGACAATGGCGGTTTTTGTCTTGATTTTGATTTTGCTCTTTTCCCTCCAGACTTGTCTGGTTGTTTCTGATCCTTTTCTGTGGGTCCCCACTGGAAGGTGCTTTAGACCTGTGGCAGGTTTTGGGGCCTTGATCTGGGCCAATCCTGCTTGGGTGGACTTTTACCCACAAGGGACCCGGTAACTTTGGGTGCTTGATTTAGAAACTATATACTTTGCCTTTCCTGTATTGTTTCCTAATTGTATTAAAGTTCCTTCCCATTACAGTCTCATATGTTTTGTGTTGATGCGGCGGATGGCAGAACCCATTTAGAGTAGGCAGGTTTGTGGGGTCTAGGGTGCCCCTCTACCTGCCCTGTAACACCTTCTTCCCCAACTTTGTCACTTTTTTTGGCGATTCTGTCTGAAATTTCAGTCACCCACAGACTTCATATCCCTTTTCTTTGAATTATTTCCCCTTGCCATTCATCACTACCCAATGTACAATTTCACTAATTTATCTTGCTTAGGGTTTATTCTCCCTCCTGAAGTCCTAAGGCAAACTTTTTTTTCCTGCTTTGTTCATGATATATTGTTAGAAACTAGAACAGTGTCATACACCCAGCAGGTGCCCAACGAATATTTATTGAATGACCTGCCGATTCTCCTTTCTTCTCATTCCCACTGACAGACAATCTAGTTTATTTTACATCTATGATGATTCCTGCTTCTCTCCTTTCTTATGTGCTACTACTACTGTCACATTGGTTCAATTGTCGCAGTTTCTCAAAACTATTGCAAGAGCTTGCCATCTGCTGGCTAATGAAATTATTTTTTTTAATTAAAAAATTTATTAAATTTATATATTTTTTACATCATTGTTCATTTTTAAACAATGTTTTCTTTCTCCCCCCACCACCCCCCCACCCTGGGCTAATGAAATTTGAGCAAGTTATTTAACTTCATTTAATTCCTCACTTAGAAATCAGGATAATAATAGTATAAATGCATAGAACTTGTGGATATAACTCATGAAACTTGTTTATATAATACATAGACATAACTTGACCCAGTGTCTGGGATAAAATAACCACTTAATGAATATTAACTATTTTTAGCTGCTCACCAGGACTGACTCTGGACTAGCTTCCCTGTCTCATGTCCTGCCCCACCTGCCCCACAATCCTATACTTAGGCCCCAATGGATCCCTTGTAATTTTCCAAACAAGACATGAACTTTCACATTTTCCACATAATGCACATCAGGCAGGACCAGCTCATATTGTTCTCTCCAGTATTCAAAGCACAGTGGATAAAATTAGCTCTGATTCACATCAATGGAAGTGGCGGGTGGAGAACTTATTTCACAGTCAGCAAAAGCTAAGAAATCTGTATCTAGTGTTTTGTTCGGAACCGTCAATTTTGACTCTACTGTACTATAAATTTTTAAATTAGCATAATGAAACTCAGGGAGAAACAACAACCTACCTGCAGTTACACAGCAAGAGAGGAATGATTTGAAGGAAGACTTATTTTCCTAAACTTTGTACTCCTCATACCACAACAGCCTGGGCATAAACCCCAAATAGTGTCATTTCCCAGGCCCCAGCATATAATTCCCTTAACTGAGGACACACTTGAAGTTACTGACTTGGAACCATGCCAAGGTAAACCATCTTCAACGTTAAGTAAAGGAGGCATCTTCTCAGGCACCACCATGAACCCCACACAGCACCTCGGCAGAGAGACAGATAGATACCTATATAAAATGTTTTAGGTTAAGGCAAGCTGCACTAAAGTCAGAGAGTCACTCGGTGACTACATGAGTCACTTTGACATTTACCTGGACCAAGGCAGAAGATCAGTGTGAAAAACTGGAACAGCCAGTTCATGCTCACAGCAGCGGAGATGTGCCAGACACTCCACTGCCTTGTCATCTATCACATAACTGAAAGCAATTCTTTCTGAGACTTCCTCTTCCTCTCAGAGGTCTAATAAAGATCATTTCCCACACCAGCAGCACCAACTTTCAAAAATTATTAGTTTATTTACTTTTTTTTCTGAGCAGGTACAAAAATCCTAAGTATATAATATGATTGGAAATTTTGCTATCTATATACATTTTCATTTAGGGGGAATTTTAAAACTTGTGGTAAAAAAACCTAAATTACATATTGTGGTTACTACATACCCTAAAATTTATGTTTTTGCTGTGCAAGTGGAATTTAATTATATTAATTATATATTTAGTGGAATTAATTATATTCACAAAGTTGTACAATCACCAACATTTACTATTTCTAAAAAAGCTTTCAGTCCCTGTGATAATGTGATTTATAAAAAAATATTGGAGAGTGATGTTACCAGGATGGAGACAGAGGTTGAGTTATTCCTGAACAACTATTCAGGAACAAGATACCACTGAGAGAATCATCCTAGAACATGGGAGTGAGGCTGAAGCATCCACCTGCATTAAAGAGACCAACATACTCCGTATGAGAAGGTAAGAGGAGCAGCTATGTGTTGACCATATTGTGCCTCCCCTAGATGGCTCAGCACCTCATGGAGAAGTCTCCCTGTGCCTAAAGAGGAAAAAAAGAGCTTATTAATTTAACTAGTGATTCCAAGGATGGTTTCCTAGAGCAGTGACACCTGAGCTAGGCACCAAAGTTGTGTAAGTGGATGGGGTGGGGCACATTCCAGCCAAGGTGTGGACCTGCAGAGACAAAGGACCATGGACATGCATGAGGTGCCTGGGGTGAGTGGTGGGGGTGGAGGGTGGAGTGGGGTGGGGTGGGGGGCTGTGTCCAAATCACCATACAGATCCAGGCCTCTGCTTTTTCCATGCATTCATCACCTGGAAGCCCTCGTCTTTCTACGCCAAATCCCACCCACTCTTAAAGGCTCGGCTTTAGCTCTGTCTCCTCCAAAGGTTTTTTCTGACAGTGCTGGTGAATGATACTCTGGAGTTCAGAATTTAACTGCAGTGGCAGTGTTGGAGCTGCATCCTCACTTCACCAGGGCAGAGGAAGGTTGCCTTACCCTTTGGGCCCTTGCAGCCCCCAACACAATGACAATGATTCACTCATTGGGACTCGTGCCTTCATCATGTCTACATGTAGTCCATTTCTGTTCTCCAGCCTGGGATTATTCATGGGATGTAGAATTTGGCTGATTGTATTTGCTACATACTCAGGAACAATTTCTCAGATGTTCCCGCCAATGTTCTGCTTACTTGATGGGGGTTTCTCAGCACTGCAGCTGGTTGGGGGAGGGTACAAACCTCAGCTAAACCCGATGCCCTCTGGGCTGAGCCTCTGGAACTGTCATGCCCCCAATTTCATCACCTGCACCTTCATCTCCTGAGTGTCCCCCTGTAGAATAACTCTGCTTCCTTCAAGTTCTCTTGTTTTGATATTTGGGTAACAGTCAAGTCCTTTCAAGTACCAGAAAAATAGCTCATCAATTCCTTTTAGAGGTAGAAGCAGCAGGTATGGTTTCTTCTTGCTGAGGCTGCTTGGAGTATATATTAGTCTGGCTCTGCAGAGAAACAGAACCAAAAGGAGAAAATAATAATAATGTTGATGACGACGATGATGATGTTATGCAAGCCAAGATGTCCCAGATCTGCTGTCTGTTAACTAGAGACCCCAGAGAGGCGATGGTAATAGTTCCCATCTAAGTCAGAAGCCTGAGAACCAGGAGAGGTGATGGTGTAAGTTCCAGTCAAGTCCAATCTCAAAGAGAGGAGAAGACCAACATCCCAGCTAGAAGGCAGTGAGGCAGAGAGCTCCCCCTCCCCCTACCTCTTTGTTCCATTTAAGCTTGCAATGGGAATGGCGATGCCCACCCACACTGGTGTGTGTGTGTCTCCTCTGTTCAGTCCATCAATTCAAATTCAGTGATAACACCCTCACGGACTCTGAATAATGTTTAATCAAATATCTGGGCCCCATCAAGTGGACCCATCAATTAATCACTACAGAGTGCTACAGAAGACGAGCTTGACCAGAGGGAAAATCCCACGAGGCTTTGGAAGCCTGAAGAAAATGCCCAACAGTGTGGTCCCCAGCAAAGGGACCTTTTCTAACCCTCCCTGGTGAGTGTCTGCATGGCAGACAGCCCTAGCCCGAAGGCTCCCCCAGCACTGCCCCATGCCTCTCGGCTGGTGGAATCCCACAGAAGTTTCCACGACAGAAGGCAAGTAGAGTCCACGGCACGCACTTGGGGAGGCTCCGGGGTGCTGTGTGGACTGGTACAGGCCCTGTACCAAGCTTCTCACACATAGTGAGTGTGGGCAGAGCCTCCTCAGGGGAGTGCTATGATGTTTACAGGCACATGAACTTTGGTCTTCTTGGCATATGGGGTTGTGGGAAGAGTCACATCTTTGGTCACAAGAAACTTCAGCCATGAGTAATCTCGAGCATTGACCCCACTGTGCCATAAGAATCCTGCTTTCTACATGTGCTTGGTGTGAAGAAGGCTGGGAGGCCCTGTGCCGCCACAATCATCCACTCCTTAGAAGGGAAGTCCCCTCCCTGGGCCAGACTGACTTTCCCTCCGTGCTTATTCCAGGCAGGGGCCATCGGGACACCACTGCAAGAGCCTGTGCAGGCTGCTTCCCATGATGATCCGCTGACGGAGCTCCCGGCAGCTGGGGTTCAGCTTTCCATCTGCTTGCCAGTCTGTTCCTGCTGTGGGCCCGTGCCTGCCCGGAGCCAGCACCTGTTTTCTAATTTTCACACCATGACCAACAGTGCGGTATTAGAAGCTGGAGTTTCCACAGAGTTCAGAGGCTGGGGGCACCGGCATTTAAGGGTGGGATTAGCGTCACGGCCCGTGCCTGGCATGGAGCTGGGGCAGGGGTCTGTGTGTGTATGTGACGGACTAGAGACCGCAGCTCTCAGCACTCAGTCCTGAGACGGGAAGGAAGAGCCCAGAGCGCCTGCTGCCCCGGCTTGGGCAGACAGGGAGGGAGCACACAGGACAACAGGTGAAAAGTCAGGAGTGTTTACCTTTTCCAAGGGTTGCACTGTGGAATACACTGAGTTCACTGCTTCCTCCTTGGGCAGGGACACCTATAAAACACCCGTCGACCAATTCGTGAGGGAGCTCTGGAAAATATTAAGAACCCCTCTTGATTCTGCTCTACCTGTCACTTTCCCCAGGTGGCTGCCTCTTGGGGCCTCAGCTCTACTTTGGAGAGGATGGGGGTCAGGCAGAGTGGGGGTGGGACAGTGGGCAACAACTGAACAGAAACCTCTGGAGACACAAGGAGGGTTTACATGGTTCAGACTGAGCTTTGCTTCCCATGCCCTGTGAGTCCAGCTGTGCTGTCCATCTAAATATAGTGCTCTAAGACCAGGCTGAATCAGTCCTTAGGGAGCAGGCTAGTGCAGGTATAGAGGAGGGGATGCAATGTAGACACCTGGCCCAGGATGGAGTTGAACAGGGCAGGTGACAAGGCAGGTGACAGGAAAGGATGGAGACAGAGTGACTGAGTCTGAGGGAGGTGATCCTGCCACTAGGAACCCTCAGCACGCGTCATGCAGGTGTGGGTGAGGCCACATCAGAGCCCTCCTTGGGGACTCCCTTAGCTTGGCCCTGTAGGGAGCACTCCTTTCCTAGTCCTGACTCACCTAAGAGTTCAGCCCAGTGTGGAAACTCAGGGCCTCCGGCAGTGGGCACCAAAGGCTACCAGGGAAAGAGTTGGCTACTTTCTGTCCTCCTAGAAGGACTCATGGCACTATTTCCCAGAAGTGGCATTTCTAGTTGGACCCTCTAGATCTTTGGCCATGGCCCTGGTCTAGGCTACTGCTCACTCCGAATCTGGGTGGGCAGATCATGAGGAGCGTGGCTCACATTGGTCTGGAGGATTTCATCGTATAGCCTGGATTCTGCTGGCCTGGTTGTCCTTGAAACTTCTGTGTATATTGTTTTTGATTCAGCATCTGTGTCACAAATAAAGATAAAACCACGGAATGTGAATGGTAGAGGATTTTATGAATGATCTCTCTTTAAGATGAAGTAATGAGGCCTACCAGATTACCTAGTCCCATCTCCTAGAGGAGTTGCTATGGTCTGGAAGGCACCCAGCTTAGACCTCCTTAGAACTCTGTAGGAATTCTCTTCTACATGAATCCACTTTAGGTTGAAGGGATTCTCCCCCTCCCCATGTGGGCACTCAGAATAGCTCTCCCACATGGGGTCTTTCTTAGGGTCTTTAGCACAGCTACTTATCTTTTTACAGGAGAGTCTCAGGTTTTCAATTAGGTGGTTACTCTCCAGTTATATCTGTGTTGGATTCCTCCAGTGGGTACCTTACTACCTTAGTGTGCCAGGAGTTGTGAGGTGATTGGTAGGAAAGGTAAATTTGAGGTGAACATGGGGGTAAGAGTAATAGGGATTTTGAGGGTGTAATGATCTCCTTGGGGCCAAAGATCAGGTTTCCTGTTTGAGAATGGCACATACAAAAGGTTCCAGAGTGATCTTATGACAACCATGGAATACAAATGAGTACCTGTCCCTCAATGACTCCCCAAAGATCATGGTCAAAAGTTACTCAGGAGGTGTCAGTTTTCTTTAAAAACAAATAAGTATGATGCATGATTCAAAAAACAAAAAAAACTCAGTGGTACTGAAGTGACCCCGGAGACCCCTGGAGACCCTCTAGTCCAAACCTCACTTCACACATGAGAACACTGAGCCAGAGATACTGGTCTAATGAAGCACATCTTGTTAATGTCAGCGCTAAACTTGAACCCATGTTCTGGGCCCACCAGACTCTGGGGATCCCAGAACAGCTCTGAAGACCATTCAAGGCAATGTCACACTGTCCTTGGGGACCTCATTCTGAAACTGGTGAGGTGGCAGGAGGGGAGTGCAAGAAGGTTGATTCTCTAGAACAAAGGACTTTTCCACATCACTGGGGAGAAATAACTTTGGTTCCAGGGAGTAGAAAGATGCTTTTCCACATTTTACCCTCTGGCAAAATCCTACCTTGACCTCTTTTGCGCAGAAGAAGCAGAATTACTGGCAATATGATGAGCATAAACAGGAAAAGTACAGCCACTGTACTCAGCAGCCCAATGTGGCGTCTCTGGTGGTTCAGCCCAGTGTCTGGAAAGAGAAGTTACAGTGAGACTAGGACCTCAGGAAACAGGCCCATGGGGCTGGGCAGGCTTGGTACCTTCAGGGACACAATCAAAATTAGGTGACCTTCAGGGTGCACCAAAGCTCCAGGAGAGCACTTCTTGCTATTAGAAAACTAATCAGAGGGGGCTGGCAACTCTCAGAAGACTCTGGACACTTTCAGGGCACCTTGGAGGAGACACCCTAGGACCAGCCTACTGCAAGGGAGGTGTATACCCCTGAGAATGAAGCCCAGACTCAGACCTTGCAGCTCTTCTGAGTGACTGCTGAGGGCTCCGGGAGGACAAGACTGAGCTGCTTACCTGAGCAGAGCTGCTGGGCAGAGATAGACTCAGAGCTGTTGCTGACAGGGTTCCAGGCTGTGCAGGTGTAAGTATGCTCTGGGTCTTCGTGGCTCTGGAAAATTCGGATGATGTTCCCCTCTCTCCCCAGGGAACTCCAACTATATGTTACATTTTTGTCTTCTTCCTCCACAAAGCATGTCAGTGTGACATTACAGGTGCTGTTCACAGAGGTCATTAAACTCGGAGTAATTTTTGGCTTCCCAAGCCGACCTGGAAGGGAAAACATGAGCAAGAAGTCAACTGGGGCTGGTTACACCAGCTTTGAGAGTCAACCGTTACATTTCTTTCTTCTTTCTTTTTTTGTGACTGTTCTTATTTTATTTTATTTTATTATTATTATTTTTTGGTATTATTTATTTATTTTTATTATTTTTAAAATAAATTTTATTTTTATATTCCCCATACAATTGCAACCCTCTTATTTTGATCCCAATCCCTCCCCTCCCCGCCCCCCACCCTCCATAAAGTGTCTCTGGTTCATAGTTGTTTGTTGATTTTGAATTTCACTTTCTTATAGTATCCTGCTATGAGTGAGACCATCTGGTATTTTTCTTTTTCTTTCTGGCTTATTTTGCTGAGCATGATCCCTTCCAGTACCATCCATGTTGCTGCAAATTGCATGTTTGTCTTTTTTGAATGCTGAGTAATATTCCATGGTGTATATGTACCACATCTTCTTGATCCAGTCATCTATTTTTGGGCATTTGGGTTGTTTCCCAATCTTAGCTATTGTAAACAGTGCTGCTATAAACATAGGGGTGCAGGTGCTCTTTGGAATTGATGTTTCTGTGTCCTTTGGGCAAATACCTTGTAGTGGAATTGCTGGATCATATGGAAGCTCTATGTTTAGTAGGTCAAGAATCTCCACACAGCTCTCCATAGTGGTTGGACCATCAACTGTTACATTTCAAAAACTTGTCAAGATGGTGGTTAAACAGAGCTGTCACGAAATATTGAATTATAAAGACTTACAATTAAATTATATTAAAAACAAAGCTAATAAATACTCAAAACTCACCACTTTTTATTTCCTTTTTGGACATTTTGCTGTTATCTAGGCTCTCAAATTTATTTCACCTATTGTGTATGTCCTTTGTAATGATGTATGAAATATTCCCAATTCCATATGTCTTTTTTTTGTGTGTTTCTTTCTTTTTTTTTTAAATTTTATTTTTATATTCCCCATACAATTGCAACCCCCTTAATTTGACCCCAACCCCTCCTTTCCCCTCTCCCCACCCTCCATAGTGTGTCTATGGTTCATAGTTGTTTGTTGATTTTGATTTTTTTCTTTCTTATAGTTATTCTTTTCCCTGGTCCCTTATTTAGGTTTTCTAAATTCCTGCTATGAGTGAGACCATCTGGTATTTTTCTTTTTCTTTCTGGCTTATTTTGCTGAGCATGATCCCTTCCAGCTCCATCCATGTTGCTGCAAATTGCATGAGTTTATCTTTTTTGATTGCTGAGTAATATTCCATGATGTATAGGTACCACATCTTCTTGATCCAGTCATCTATTTTTGGGCATTTGGGTTGTTTCCAAAACAGCTATTGTAAATAGTGCTGCTATAAACATACGGGTGCAGGTGCTCTTGGAATTGATGTTTCTGTGTCCTTTGGGTAAATACCTAGGCCAACTCCGTATGTTTTTAAAGCAACTAGGATGAGGGCCTCCCCGGTGGCGAAGGGGGTTGAGCACCGCATTGTGAAGCTGTCCACAGCCTCTGCAGCGCAGGTTTGATTCCCGGCCTGCCAGGGAGATTCCCACATGGCATCGCAGACCTCTGCTGTCTTGTCCACTGCTCCCCTCAGCCTTGTGTTTCTGTCATCTGCCTGTTCTGCTCCCCACTCTGTCTCTGGTGAATCCTCTCACCCTCTTGCACCTCTGGCCTATACCCCAGCTCTTGTATAAAAATAAATAAATCTTAAAAAAAAAAAAAGCAACCAGGACGAGAATAGCTGTACCACAGAAACTGATAAAAGTCCGTCTCAGAAGCTTGTATACTGCATGATTCTCGATGGATAACATTTGTGAACAGACATAAGCTTACACATTAAGAAAGGATTTTCTTCCAGGAATTAGGGATGGAGAAGGGGTAATAAGTGACTCTGAAGGGATCAAAGAATCTTGTGGCAATGTTATTCTTAAGTGTGATCGTGGTAGTGCTCACGTGAAGCTACATGTGTGATTATTTTGAACAGAGTTACTCCATGCTCACACATGCGAGTACATGTGTAAGTGGTGACATCTAACTACACTCTGTAGGTGGACCCAATGTTGATTTTTGGTTTTGATGCTGTACTGTAGTAAGGTGAGATGTTACTATTAGGAGAGGCTGACTGAAGGGTACGCAGCACCTCCCCAAACATTTCTTTACACTTTCTTTTGCATCTATAATTATTTCAAAATAAAAGGATCTTTTACAAAAGGGCTTTACATACACGGGGCCTCACAAGAACTGTAGGAAGTGAGTGCTGTGATTGTACATGTTTTATAGAAAAGAAAAGCAACGCCCAGGGGACAACCATGATGGAAAATTCCCTGGGTAAAAACATATAAAGCCACACCCTCTTTTTATAAGTGTTGATAAAATTAACTAAGTTTAAGTATAAAAAGATTTAGGGAATCCAATTATCAGAAAAATAGCAAAATTGCAAAGCAAAACCTTCAATTTACCCACAACTCACGGTAGATTTGAAGGTTGTAACGCTTGGTTTCGGTAGTGCTTGAGGTCTTCAAAGTTATGTCGGCCGAGTAGATGCCTGCATCTTCCATCCCAAGATTTCTCATCTCCAGGTTGTAGTTCTGACCTGAGACATTTATTCGGTCATTATAACTGTTGTGAGTCACAATGACTTTGGGTACTGTCCCTGAGTCTCCTGGTTGTACAAAAGCAATTGATGTTTTGAACTGCCAAACAATGCTTCCAACTTGCTGTGATTCTGGGATATTCAAGGGGAAAGTAACTGACTCCCCCAGGATCCCGTTCACGGTGCAGACATCTGTGTTACTTCCAGCTGTTTCTGGCCCTGAGAACACAAATAGAAAAACCACTGTGCCTGTTAGAGTCCCTTGTCCTCCCATCTCATCCACTTTCCTGAGAATGCTTCTTTTCTTGGGCATCGACTTTGGAAGGGGGCATTCTACTCAAGGTATGTCTAATATGTTATGATGACAATGTAGTTCCTAAAAAATTCTCATTTTTTAAAAAAAAATTATTCATTTATGTGTAGGGTGTAGGCCACAGGTATGGGGGTACGAATTCATCAGAGACAGAGTGGGGAGCAGAACTGGCAGACTGACTGAAATACACTGCTGAGGGGAGCAGCGGGCGAGACAGGAGAGGTCTGCTGTGCCATGTGGGTTACTTCCCTAGCCAGGGATCGAAATCATGTTTCAGTGACTGCCAATAGCTTCATAGTGCTGAGACTTAACACATTGTGCCACCAGGGAGGCCCGAAGATTCTCATTTAAAAACTAAGTTTCTGGACCTCCCTAGTGGAGCAGGTGGTTGAGCAACGCACTGTGAAGCTTTTTGAGGCCTCTGCAGAGCCGGTTGGATCCCGGCCGGCCGGCAAGAATCCCACATGGCGCAGCAACCTCTTCCTGTCTCGCCAGCTGCTCCCCTCAGCAGTGTGTTTTGTCAGTCTGCCTGTTCTGTTCCCCGCTCTGTCTCTGGTGAATCCTCTCATTCTCCCATGACTCTGGCAAGTACACCAGTTCTTGTATTAAAAAAAAAAATAAATCTTAAAAAAAATATGACATGGGGGAAATGAAGGGTTTATGTTCTTCTCTTTCTTTGCTTTTCCATCGCCTTGTAAAGACAACATAATTATAAGGTGCTTTTTCTCCTCTTCCTTTTCCTTTTCTTTTGTTACCTGTTATTCTCTCTGAGCTCTATTTTGAGGAATAGTTTTGGGCCAGCAAGGGTGATATTAAAAATATTTAATTACTAATTAAAACGTTTAACCAATCTGGAAGGGCACCAGCCATTAACAATAATTGGGTCATCTGATGAATACTAGCTGCATGTAAGCACCCAAGAGCAAGATACAGTATTCCACATAGGTGGGCTCAGGCTGCTCCTAAAGTTTACCCAGGGTTTGGCATAAAGAGGGAAGGAGAAGGATCCTTGAGAACACCAGTCATTTTGAAGTGTCACAAAACCAAGGGATTTCTCAAACACATGGCTGCCCCTGCCTCCCAGCACAGTAACTCCTGAATGGGGCTGGGAGCTGCTAATATCTTTCTTTCCTTTTCAGATCAACCAAGTCTTTCCTTAGGAAGAATATTCCAGGCAAGTTCTTATGACCTAGTTGGGGTGCAAGTTCAGAAGGAGACGGTACAGGGCCCTTGGGGGGGGGGAGGGAAGAACAAGGACCCTTATCTACTGTCATTAAGAGCTGCGTGCCAGGGGCTGGGTTAGGGACTCAGAAGCAGGTGTTGTCCTGAGAGCTCACAGCCCAGAGTAAGACAGATGCATATACAAATGAAAAATAAGACCGGGGGTGAGTGTTAGGTGAAGGAAACAGAAGGGGAACAGAAGAAGAGACTAAGGCTGCCTTTGGTGGCAGGAGGTATAATTTGCCAATATTTATTTCTTTGAACATTAATTCTCTGTAAATAAGCTGATGAGGTCTGGTGGAAGGACCCAAATCCCAGACTAACAAACATGTATGTGTGATCTGTGTGGTCATACAAGCCTCCAGCCCAGAAAGACAATGAGCTTCATTTAATATGGCCCTGCACCTGGACATTCTTAGTGATATTTGAACAAGGGCCTCCACATTTTCATGTTGTGCTGGGCTCCCCAAATTGTATACTTGCTCTTGGTCTCAGACCTCCCATGTCTGTGAAGGCTTTTTGAAGTCAGGTCCGAGCGCCTAAATGCCATTCTACTCATCAGATTCAGGTTAGGTGTGAAAAAGAAAGGACAGGATGTGGGTGCCATAGACTCATGGTTCTGGTAGGTTCTGTTATCAAACCCAGGAAATGTGTAGGAATTCCGCTAAGGCTGAGATCTTAGTATTAGAACAGTGTACAGTCACAGGATGGTATGAGGATATGATGTGTAGTTGTCTTATCTTCTGTAAAGTCATTCAGGAAGCGATGCTGGGGTGGCAGATATGGGGAGCTGGGGAAGTCCTGCAGCAATTTGTGCTGTTGGTGTTATTCCTGAGAATCCTGTGCATGCTGAGAAAAGGCATGGAATGTGAACAGTCCTAAGATGAGAATTTTGCTACCTTCAAACACACCAAATGTGGTGTGAGAGAAAAGCCATTACACATAGCTGTGGTTTTGTAATCCCAAAGCCACTGCATGTAGGGGAAAGATAGGGGACTAAAGATGTGGGTGCTGGGGTAGAAGATAGTGGGGAAACCCTGCACCTACTTGTGCTGCTAGTGTTATTCCTACCTATAAGTTGGGCACTTAATAAAGCCATAGACCCTTTATGAGTCAGTTTCTTCATCCACAGAATGGAAATAATAACTATAAAATTTGCCCAGTCTAATTAGTGATCAGCGAATAGTATGAAATACTCTGTGAATCATCACGGCAATCTAAATGTTAGTTATTTCTGAAGTTGATAATGAAAATGAGGAGGATGATACCCATAATCATCGTAATCTTAATAATTGGTACATACACTTTAAGGCTTCCCTAGTCCATCTGTGAGGGCCTGTTGACACCATGGTCACACTGGACAATGTATGAGTCATTATTAAGGGTTAGTTCAAGTAAAGCCATGAGGGATAATTTTAGGTGGCACTCCACTTGGTGGAGTTTATTCTTTCTTTAAACACTTCAGACTTTTTTTTTTAAATCTTCCTATCAATCAACCTCAATACTTATTTTTCTAGATGCTAAAGGGACTCAAACATTTTATTAGTGTTTTCTGCCAGGAAAGAAGCAGCAGACAGTCAAGCATTGAGAAATCTTGCGTCATTCTCCTTGAGGATAGAAAGTCCTGGTCACAGGATTTTTAAGAAAAGGAAACTACCAGCCCCAGAGAATAGTTACTATTTTCTCTATTAATTGATTTTTATCATCTTTATGAGATTTGAGTTAACTTGAATCTTTTTCTTTAAAAAAAAGATGCACTATCAAGTATACACACAAATTCGAAAATGAATATAGGATAGTGGCCATGCATTATTATATCTCTAGTCCTCTGTAATTGCACACTTTTAGCATTTATATATTTATTATTAATTATTGAGCATAAAGATGGAAATAAGGAACACAAAGAACTCCAGTAATATCAGTCCTCCAACTGATATCCCATACTTCTTTCTAGTTTCTACACAGATGAACCTAGGTGCTTCCAAACTTGCAGATTTTTCCTCCTGAGTTTTAAGACAAGAAAGGGTTGATTCAGAAGATACTTTGGTAGACTGATTACCAGCATTGACCTTGGGTTCCTGCTGAGGAGGTACTTGGCTATTTTGTCAGTCACCATTTTGATAAGAAGAGCTTTTGGGGTAGATGGCACTCCTGAGGCAGGTCTCGGCTTCTTCCTACTGGTGTCCTGTGTCATCAAGATGTGCAGATTCATAATCTTTATTTGGAAACAGGATTTTTTTTTATTTTTATATTCCCCATACAATTCCAACCCCCTCTTTTTAACCCCAAACCCTCCTTTCCCCACCCCCCCCAATGTGTCTCTGGTTCATAGTTGTTTGTTGATTTTGATTTTTTTTTTCTTATAGTTATTCTTTTTCCTGGTCCCTTATTTAGGAATTTTCTAAATTCCTGCTATGAGTGAGACCATCCAGTATTTTTCTTTTTATTTCTGGCTTATTTCGCTGAGCATGATCACTTCCAGCGCCATCCATGTTGCTGCAAATTGCATGTGTTTATCTTTTTTGATTGCTGAGTAATATTCCATGGTGTATATGGACCACATCTTCTTGATCCAGTCATCTATTTTTGGGCATTTGGGCTGTTTCCAAAGCTTAGCTATTGTAGATAGTGCTGCTATAAACATAGGAGTGCAGGTGCTCTTTGGAATTAATGTTTCTGTGTCTTTTGGGTAAATACCTAGGAGTGGAATTGCTGGATCATATGGAAGCTCTATATTTAGTAGGTTGAGGAATCTCCACACAGCTCTCCACAGTGGTTGGACCAGTTTGCACTCCCATCAGCAGTGCAGGAGAGTTCCTTTCTCTCCACATCCTCGCCAACATTTGTTGTTGCTAGTTGTTTTTTTTTTAATTTTTATATTCCCCATACAATTGCAACCCCCTGATTTTGACCCCAATCTAGTTTTTTTTTTTTAATATGTGCCATTCTCACTGGTGTGAGATGGTATCTCATTGTAGTTTTGATTTGCATTTCCCTGATTGCAAGTGATGTTGAACATTTTTTCATATGCCTGCTGGCCATTGGTATTTCCTCTGTGGAGAAGTTTCTTTTTAGCTCTTCTGCCCATTTTTTGACTGGATTATTTTCCTTGTTTTTGTTGAGTCTCATCAGCTCTTTGTAAATTTTTGCCATCAGTCCTTTATCATTAGTGTTGGGTGCAAAAAGTTTCTCGGTGGAGTTTCTCTTTGTTTTGGTTATTGTCTCTTTTGCCGTGTAGAAGCTCTTTAATTTGATGTAGTCCCAGCTCTTTATCCTTGCCTTCACTATCACTGCTTTGGGTGATGCATCTGTAAAGATGTCTTTGAGGTGCATGTCATGCAATGTTTCGCCTATATTTCCTTCTATATATTTTATGGTTTCAGGTCTTATGTCTAGTTCTTTAGTCCATTTTGAGTTGGTTTTTGTGCATGGTATGAGGTAGTAGTCAAGCCTTCATTCTTTTGCATGTAACGACCCAGGGAAACTGGATTTTTGCATTTATGTACCAATATCCCATGTTCCCCATTCACAATTTATTCTTCATTCTATGACTGGGCATCTGCTTTTGACCCCTTTGTGAATGCAGCAGCAGCCTGTTCAAGTCTCTTTCTAGAACACAGAATGTCTTTATCTTCAGGCCCCTCCATGCGAGGATGTTGGGTCAATGACAAATTGGCTCTTGCACATACTCTTCTCCCGGCATGAAGTCTTCTAACTTGCAGGCTCATCGTTGGGCCCTATTTAACCATGGACAGATACCCATTTGGGTCTACTCACCTGTTGGACTTTTATGTATCAACTGCTAGAATATCTCACAAAGGTGTTTTCTCTTCAACAGGGCTTCAAAGTCCTGTCTATATTGGACCCTTCTTTGTAGAAGTTAATTTAAGTTAGCTCAAATCAAATATGTGAATGGAACCTGAATGATATCTATATAAAGTCATTTTTTGAATCTTCTGCCCAGTGCCCCTACCTTAATTTCTGATGTTGGTGAAGACCTGCCCACTAGCCCCCACCCTCCTCTGCAGGTAGTTGTGAGATAGGTCCAGCCTATGACTGAACTATCCTGACTTTGATGGGAATAAATCACGACTTTTCAATGAAAAATCACCAAATGGAAACGAATGACCAGCAAAGGGACAATACTTCGGTATTAAAGTCGGTGAAGGCAGAAATGGCCAGTGGTTAAGTCCAAAGACATTTGTGTTCAAATCCTACTTCCTTTAGTTTTTAGCTAAATTAATTCTAATGTTCTGTGTGTCGATGTTTTCATTAAAAAAATTGGGATATTAATAATAGTCCCACCAGAGGGTGAGGATTAAACAAAACAATAAGGGTAGACTACTTGGAACAATACCAGGCTTACGGTGATTGCCCCATCGATGGTTAGTATTACTATTATTGATGGGAGAGGAGAAGATTGCAGGGGAGGAGTTGAAGAAACTAAGCAAGAAATATGTAGAGAAAAGGAAAAATTAAAAAAGTGTGGCAAAGAACATGTGGAGGGGGATGGGTACAGAGCATATGTGGTAGGCTCTTCCGTCTTCTACCCCAGTCAGTGGATGGCAGAGGATCCTTGGGGTGATAGCCAGAGAGAGGCACAATGTCACAAGTCATGATAAGACAGTTGAGGTTAGAGCTTAAGGCTGTGAGTCTTGGTTCTTAGAGAAAACTGCTCCAACCCGGAAGAGTCATGAGTTTGCACACTCAGACTTATTTCCATAATGTCAAGAAAAAATGGGAAATTTCTAACTTCCTTTCTTCACTACTTCTCCACTGACTCAATACTCTGAATTCCAGGGAAGTACATAAGATCAGTGTTGATTCCTAAGCCTAAGGCTAAATTTAAGGAACCATTGTTGCCAGAAAAACAGCAGGAGGAACTTAGGGTGTATTTCTACATCAAAGAAATATTTGTGGATTAGTCCGTTAAAGGCAAATAGATAACTCAGCAAAGGCAAATTGTATGTGGAAGCACTTCTGTTTTTCACTTCTACAAAAAGAAACCCCAGCTCAATTCAACGGTCCCTGACAATGGATATCTCACCCTTCCTTGGCATCCTTTCTAGAACCCCAAGAGCCCACACCTAAGCAAAAACTCCCACCATTTTCTCCCACTCATTTTCTGTGGATCACCCCCAAACAGAGGCATGTTGCCCAGAACCTCTGGCTTTGGCCTTCACACTTCCTAAAATGATGTTAAAGCAAATCTGAAAACAGAAAAAGCCTTACCTAATACTTGTGCAGCACTTAGTATATGGAGGTACTGCAACAAGTGCTAAACATAGCTTGTAATTTTGATTCTCAAAATAATCATATTGGACTAGTAGTTCCCCATTTTAAAATTTAAAAAAAGCATGTTTATACAATTTCCCCAAAATCACAAAACAAATGGATGATAATTCATGACCGGTTGGATTTGACAAGCTTGATTTCAATTTTAGTAGATGAGGCGCATGTATCTCAGAACTATCTTTTATTTCAGCATGTGTCAGTCCTCTGTAGAGCATCAAGGGTTTCAATATGTACTGATTGGGAAGTCAGAGAGAGCATGGGCCAGAAAGAGAGCATGGGCCAGTCATTGGATTAGAAGATGAGTTCAATTTCTAACAGTACCAAGTTCAGGTTGTAAAATTTTAGATGAAGTATTTGACTTGAATCTTAATCTATACTTAAAAAAAAATAGGGGGCCTCCCTGGTGGTGCAGCAGTTGAGCGCTGGGTTGCCAAGCTGCCCACAGCCTCTGCACCGCAAGTTCGATCCCCGGCTGCTCCCCGGCCACCGGAGGAGGGTCCCACATGGCGCGTAGACCTCTCTTGCTGCCCGCTGCTCCCCTCAGCAGTGTACTTCATCATTCTGCCTGCTCTGCTTTCCCATCTGACTCTGGTGAATTCTCTCACCCTCCCGCACTTCTGACAGTACCCAGTGCTTGTATAAATAAATCTTTTAAAAAAATTTAAAAAAATGTGTAAAAAAAAATAATAGGGGCCACTCGGTAGCGCAGTGGGTTGAGCACAGCAGATTGAGTGCAGTGCTTGGGGAGCTGTTGCAGCCTCTGCAGCGCGGGTTCGATTCTCAGCTGGCCAAGGAGCTACCCACATGGTGCGGCAGACCTCTCCTATCTCCGCACTGCTCCCAGTTCCATCTGCCTCTTCTGCTTCCTGCTCTGTCTCTGGTGAATTCTCTCACCCTCCTGGGCCTCTGGCCTGTACCCCAGTTTTTGTATAAATAAAAAATAAATCTAAAATAATAATAATAGAATAATAACAGGATTAATAATATTCATCTTGTTTATTTTAATGATTTTAGTATGGATCACAGGAATGTCAAGATCAAAATTGTAGAAGGCTTTGCAAACTAAGTAGTATCAAATGCATGATGGCCAGCCTTCTCTGGAAATTGGGGACATTCCTGTATTTTCTGTGTAGGTTCTATCCAACTGTTCACTATCTAATTGCATTTTCTGCCTCCTACATCAGGGTGACTAGCACAAGCTCCAAAGCCATAGCTTGTCTAGTGGGTGTAATCTCCATGATGCTTGAATTAAAGGAACCACAGCTATAAATGGTCAAGGTAATGCAAGAGACCAAGGTATATCAATTCCACCTTTTCAGGAAATCCTAACCCACTGGATTCTTTATATTCTAAATCATGCCAGGAATATGCTGGTGCTTTTACAGAACTTGTGAGAGATGCTATAGGTAGATTTATTAAATAAGAAATATAGTCAATTTTGACTTTAACAAGGCAGTTGTTTGGATGAAATGAGATAATATATACAAAAATACCTCAGACCTAGATTAATGATACAATTTTCTTTGTGCTAACAACAGCCAGTGGTCATTTTGTCCTTCATAATTAAGCCATAGTAAGAAAAGAGAGTTTTTCATTCAAGTTCTCCATCTCTTTTTTGAGACTTAGCTTATTTGTAATATAGGGATAGCAAAGTCATCCCCACTTATTTTAGAGAGATTTTTGAGGATATAAGCAGAGAATAGCTCAGAATTTGCTTTGCAAAGAAAGGGAACATACAAAGATTAAGTTTTCAAAGTGATAATTATGATCATGCCTCACGCTAATCTGGTAGAGCAATGAAATATAACTGGGAAGTGCATGTCTGTCAAAAATAGGTAATACATTTTATTTTATTCTTTTCTAATTTTTTATTGTATCTCTTTTTCATTAAGGTAACATTGATTTATTTATTGTTTTAAAGATTTATTTATTTGTACAAGCACTGGGATACAGACCAGAGGCGTGGGAAGGTAAGAGGATTCACCAGAGACAGAGCAGGGAGCAGAACAGATAGAAGGACTGAAATACACTGCTGAGGGGGGCAGTGGACGAGACAGGAGAGGTCTGCTATGCCATATGGATTTCTCCTTGGCTGGCCAGGAATCGAACCAGTGCTGCAGAGGCAGCAGACAGCTTCACAGCGCCGTGCTCAACCTGCTGCACCACTAGGGAGGCCCATTGGTTTAAACATTGCATGTGATTCAGAGGTATAGGTTCATATCTCTTCAAATGTAAGAGGTAACACATTTTAACCCACCCCCCAAAGAATTTGCATTAAAGTTATTCAAGGTTTTGGATGATCTGTTCTTTCTTGGGGGTCTCTGGGAAGTTCAATCAAGTGTTAACTCTCTTAAACAGAAGAGTTCATTGCAGACCTTTGGAGGCTGGGCAGAGACAAAATTTTATTTAGAAATATAAACTCTAAAGCTAAAAATAATTATGTTTCTCCCCAGTCAGATGGATCCTTCTAGAGACCTAGGGTGTGTCTGTTAAGACAGATCAAACGTGCATTTCAGCATCTTTCTGAAGGGAAATTTCTAAAAATAGAATACTAGTAAGGAGTTAGCAGGGGTCAGAACTCACAGGTTTGCAGGCAAAGGAGCAAGATCCATAGGAGGGGCTGAGCCATCTTCTCCAGGGCTGGTCTTCCGTGGGCAAGAATGGCAGGAACTCTGCTAGCAGGGAGTTGGTTTCACTTGTGTTTTTGTGCTCCATTTATAGACAGATTCAGTAGGAAGTCTGAAAAAACGTCTAATTTTCATCATCCAAGAGAAAATTAACCCCCTTTACCCAGCAAAATGCTGAAACTATATAATGTTATAAGCCAAAGCTATTTCAATAAAAATTTTTTACAAAAAGGAAGTATGAGTTAACTGACTTAGGAAAAGTTGATCTATACTTTACGATGCTCGTTTTTTCCCTATTATATAACATTAATGCCTAGTATTATTTATTCAACAAGTATTTACTGACTGCCTACTAGGTGTCAGGTGCTATTTAGGGAACTGGCAATATAAAGAGCAGGAAAGTAACTATCTTGCTCTTTTCCTGAGCCCATGTTGTTGTGGGGAGCTCAACAATGAAACGGGTAATTTCAACATAGTGTGATAAGGAGAGCAATGGAGAAAATGAAGGAAAATGGAATTTCCTGGATAAATTATTTGATTTCACAGGATTTAACTATATCCCTCTCACATTTTTAGCAAGCTTGATTTCCTTAAATATATAATTACTGCATGTGCAAAAACATACCTCTGTCATGTGTGCACAGAGAAACAAGAAAGAAGAACATGAAATTGCCACTTGCTGTTGAAAACCTGACTTTGTATTCCCTTTCTTCCATCTTCTTCTTTCTCAGCAGAATGCATGTTTTTTTAATGTTTTTAATTTTATATATTTTTTACATCATTTTTCATTTTTGAATAATGTATTCATTTTCATCTTGGTTATAGTCCCCGTTAAATTCCCAGCCCCCCTTGTTTTGATCCTACCCTCCCCGCTCCCCATGGTGTGTCTCTGGTTTATCGTTGCCTGTTGATTTTTTTTTTTTAAAGATTTATTTATTTATTTATACAAGCATGGGGTACAGTCAGAAGCATGGGAGGGTGAGAGAATTCACCAGAGCCAGAGCGGGGAGCAGAGCAGGCAGAAGGACCGAAGTACACTGCTGAGGGGAGCAGCGGGCGGCAGGAGAGGTCTGTGCGCCATGTGGGACCCTCCTCCGGTGGCCGGTGAGCAGCCGGGGATCGAACCGGCGCTGCAGAGGCTGCGGGCAGCTTCGCAACCCAGCGCTCAACCGCTGTGCCACCGGGGAGGCCCTGCCTGTTGATTTTGATTTTCACTTGATTATAATTAGTCTTTTTCCTGGTCTCTTATTTAGGTTTTCTAAATTCCTGCTATGAGTGAGACCATCCGCTATTTTTCTTTTTCTTTCTGGCTTATTTCGCTGAGCATGATCCCTTCCAGCTCCATACATGTTGCTGTAAATAGCATGAGTTTATCGTTTTTGATTGCTGAGTAATATTCCATTCTGCATATGTACCATAGGATGCATATATTTTTTAAGCTATTGCTCAGAGTCAATTATTATCACCTAATTCAGATCTTCAGTTCATTAGGACACATTCAGGTTTTGAACAGAATTCTTTTTCTTCCTGTTTTCTTCTTTCTTTTTCTCTTTACCTCTCCTACTTTTTTCAAAAATGATGGGAGTAAAGATAAGAAAAATAACTTAAAATAATAAAATTGATGTTAGGGTCCTCCCTAGTGGCACAAGGGGTTAAGCATCAGCACTATGAAGGAATCCCCAGCTACTGCAGCATGGAGCTAACACACATGGCATGGCAGACCTCTCCTGTCTCTCCTGCTGCTCCCCTCAGCAGTGTATTTCAGTCAGTCTGCCTGTTCTTCTCCCCACTCTGTTTCTGGTAAATCCTCTCACATCCCCCCCCCCCGCCCCCGTACCTCTGGCCTATACCCTAGTTCTTGTATGCATAAAAAATAAATCTTAAAAAAATAAAATAAAATTGATGTTTAAAAAAGTGCATGCTTCTTAAAAATTCCTGCAATCTGGAATTAGAGACAGAGATGAAAAACAAATGGAATTCTCTATGTAGGAAAAAGAATTATTCTGTGTGCACTGAAAGACAAATAATTATGGAAATTAAGCAGAACAGAGAAAGAAAAAATATTTGTTTACCAGGAGGAGTAATATGGCAGCTCTAAGTTAAAAGTGGTTCTTCCCCTTATTCTTCGGATTCTCTCCTTTTTCCTCCTTCCATCCTGCTTCACCAGTTTCTCCCTGATGAGTGGAGGAACACACAAATATACTTTGTAACTTAATTCTAAATGTTTCACATCTTCTGCTAAACACTCTCTTCTTTCTTTGCTCCCATTAAAAGCAAGTCTTCCAAGTTGCTGCAAATTGCAAGTGTTTATCTTTTTTGAATGCTGAGTAATATTCCATGGTGTCTATGTACCACATCTTCTTGATCCAGTCATCTATTTTTGGGCATTTGGGTTGATTCCAAAGCTTAGCTATTGTAAACAGTGCTGCTATAAACATAGGGGTGCAGGTGCATGGATGGCGCTGGAAGGGATCATGCTCAGCGAAATAAGCCAGAAAGAAAAAGAAGAATATCGGATGGTCTCACTCATAGCAGGAATCTAGAAAACTTAAATAAGGGACCAGGAAAATGAATATCTATAAGAAAGTGAAAATCATAATCAACAAACAACTATGAACCAGAGACACTTTATGAGGGGAGGGGGGCGGGGAGGGAGGGATTGGGGTCAAAATAAAGGAGTTGCAATTGTTTGGGGAATATAAAAATAAAAAAATTAAAAAAAAAACCCTACAGAAAATGAAAAAAAAAAAAAAAAAGCAAGTCTTACTGAAATGACACCATGGTCAATGTTTCGGTTCCCTTATTTCTCAAATCAACGCTTTCCAAGGCCTCTCCCGACTCTATTGAAACTCCTACTGTCAAGTTCATCCACAACCTCCTCATTGTGAATTCTACCAGTGAAAAGGAGTGAGGGATATCAGGGGAATAATGACTACTTTGATGAAATTATTGACCAAAAGTCTAGGATGTGTGACATCAGTCAAAAAGACACGATAGGGGCCTCCTAGTGCCATAGCAGGTTGAGTGCAGAGCTGTGAAGCTGTCTGTAGCCTCAACAGTGCTGGTTCAATTCCCGGCCGGCCAGGGAGATACCCATGTGGCACGACAGACCTCTGCTGTCTCACCTGCTGCTCCCCTCGGCAGTGTTTTTGGTCTGCCTGCCTGTTCTGCTCCCCATTCTGTCTCTGGTAAATCCTCTCACACACCCCCACACCTCTGGCCTGTACCCCAGTTCTTGTATAAATAAATAATCTTTAAAAAAAAAGACACAGTGTTAGTAGTTATAATGGCCTATCCCTCAATAGAAACACCAATAAATAAATAAATAAATAAGATAATAGTATAAAGAATAACAAACACTTCCTGAATCAACTTTGACAAAATTGTATAAAGTAGTCAAAGGTTAAAAGCAACCAAATCAAGAAAGAAGCAATTTAAAATTGAGAGGAGAGCTTTGCAGCATTTTATTTGCTTTCCCCTTCCCTGGCTTGGTTGCACACTGCTAAGATCATAGTCCTCAATTCCAGAAGGCTGCCATTATTCTGTAAGAATTATATTTGTCTGTTTTGACCTGTCTGGGTGCTGTCTGAGAACTGATGGAAGGCACCTGCCTTATTTTAACTAAGTCAGCACTCTCAAGTGGAAAAGTAGCTATGCAGAGGGTATTCTTCATAATCATTGAGAGGCAAATGTGCTACCCATTGCCACTTGGCAGAAAAGACTACAGTCAAGGTAAACATTGGAGAAGCTGAAAATCTGGAACAGATTCATTGATATAGTAACAACATTCTTCCCTGAGAAACAGGCAGGTACCACACTTATTAGACGTTAACAAGTCCAGAGCCCGCCGGTTTTGGAGCGTGGCCTGTGCCAGGGAGGTGAGCTGTCTTTGTAATGATGCTAAAGACCCAGACGTTTTTCTAAGGAGGTATCTATTGGAGTTCCATAGGGGGGACTGAGAGTTGGGGAATCTGGCATGGGGCAAAAAGCAAAAATAAGGAGTTTAGGATCAGAGGCCCTATGAGTGGTAATACCTTGCCCGAGGCTGCGCTGATCTGGAATTGCCAGGCATAGACAGAAGAACGGGAAGTGGCTTTAAGAGATGGGATTAGGGGCCTCCCCGGTGGGTGGCGCAGAGGTTGAGTGCTGGGTTGCAAAGTTGCAAAGCTGCCCGTGGCCTCTGCAGCGCCTGTTCGATCCCGGCTGCTCCCCGGCCACCGGAGGAGGGTCCCACATGGCGCGCAGACCTCTCCTGCCGCCCGCTGCTCAACTCAGCAGTGTACTTTGGTCCTTCTGCCTGCTCTGCTCCCAGCTCTGGCTCTGGTGAATTCTCTCACCCTCCCTCCCGCGCTTCTGACTGTGCCCAGTGCATGTATAAATAAAAACACACACACACATAAACAAACAAACAAACAAACAAACAAATAAATAAAAATACAGGCCTCTTAAAAAAAAAGAGAGAGATGGGATTAGGAACAGAGGAGGGAGAGTCAGAAGAGAGTAGGCCGAGTGGAACCTGGACTAGGGGCGCAGTGATGCGTACCCGAGTTGGGCTCAAGTGCTCGCATACATACTGTTTGTCCACAGGGACCATGTTGCTCATCTGTCAATAACAGGAATGGCTTTTCCGGGTCTGGGATAGCTAAGGCTCATCTCAGAGTTCTTTGCCTGGATAAAGCAGAGAAAACAGGGTGTAGAAACAAAGAAAAGCATGATCATTATCACCGGGCCTACTAGGGACAGGATCCATGGTAGTAAGGGAGTGCTGGTCCAAGTCTGGTAATCCTGGCCCCAGCTTCAGCTGACAAAGAGTTGGTCAGAGGGGGTTTTGCTGGTCAGATGAGCAAGTCCATGAACAAGTCCATGAATGTGTTGGAGGAGGGGGAGACACCTGAGTACACACGATTTCTCACCAAAATCTCTCTCAGACCTTTAACGCTTTCTTTTGCTTTCTTCCTTTCTAATATCATTTCATTTTACCCATTCTACTTTAAATTATTTTAAGGAGCTTTAGAATATTTATCTTTAATACATTTTTTTTTCAACACACATATCTCCCCTTACTTGCATTTACAAAACCTTAGTTTTATAAGGGAATTTAACACCATCTAAACAATGATGAAAAAACACAAATTTAAGATAGATATTTATTGTAGCTTTTTGTTCCTGTTCCCAGTGATTTAACTGGCAGAGAATGGTGTCCAAAGCCTGCATCTGTTGGGCAATATTAATGTTTTCAATTTGGCTAAGGTCACCCTGTAGGGTTTTGAATTGTGGGAGGATGAGGGGTGGATGGCTGTCTGTAAGGATTTTTGAAAGGGGAAATCCCAGCTGGGCTGACACTGTGTAAGAATCCCAAGCTGAAAAGGTTTCCAGGTGACACTGGATTCTAGGCGTGCTCACTGCGGGACTGAGATTGATCATAACCTAAGGCTTGCTGGAGTAGGAAGATGTGTGGATTTTTCAGCTGAGCAGGTCCATGGTGGAGTAGGGCTGGTTGTTTGGATTCTAATATACTGGTCCCCGAGTCTTTTTAAAGGGGAGCTAGAGAGCCTCTCTATTTGTTCCTTGCAACTTACACGTTTTACCACCTGGGACATAAGAACTGGTGGCTCCAGAGAGTCAGGACTAGCAGGAGACAGTTGAGACTCAGATTTAGATGGAGTAAGTAGATGGGGCTCACTCAAGTGGGATTCCTGGGAGGCCGGTAGAGGAGGATACAAGGGGGGCCTTCAGGGTGCCCAGGCATATGGTTGTGGCTGTTCTTTATCATCAGTGGATGAAAAGACTCATTTTGATTTAAAAGGTTGCAGCTGAGGTTGTAAAACAGAAAGAGGTTGTACTGCAACTTCTAACCAAGGTGGCTGGGAAAGGACTATAGTAAGCCAGGAGGCTGTATATAGAAATTGGTCTGGGTGACCTGGGTTGCCCATGACCACTCTGTAGGGGGTGGTGAGTGGCCACAACTGGGGTAGAGGTATGCCAGACCATGGGGTCGACAGTGGAAGGAGACAGAGGGTAGTCCTGAGAAGGGTTAGGAGATTTTGGATGTGAAGGGTGAGAGCAACACTAGGGTCTTAGAACCATGGGAGAGTAGCCTCGAGTTTGGTTAGGAGGTCACGACCCAGGAGTGGTGTGGGGCAAGAAGGCATGACTAGGAAAGAGCAGACTGGTTGTCTTGGGTTGAGAAGGAAAGCCGTCAACACCAGTAACCGAGGCCTGAGAAGGATAAACTTGACTGGAATAGGAGGGGAGGACAGAGAAGGCAGCCCCCGTGTCAACCAGAAAGGAGATGGACTTACCTGCTACCTTGACTGTTACCCTGGGCTCCTCGAAGGTTATCGGAGTCGTTGAGTCCGGGCCTCTTCAGTCCAAGACCGCCGGTGGCAGGGTTGCAGGGACTGGAAGGACTGGCCCACCAAGGCCAGGCCCACCACAGCCAGGCGTGGTGGGACAGTCACTTTTTCAGTGACCCCAGATGGTTCTGGCAGAGGGTGGGGGTTGGGGCAATGTTTGGACCAGTGGCCCTCCAGGCCACACTTGAAGCAGGCTCCCAGCAGCAGTTGGTTGGGGCCCATTGTTGTCCTCTGTCGGGCGGCAGGTGCTGTGGTCGTTGGAGGAGCAGGGCCTGGCAGTCTCAAGGCAGCTACTAGGGCCTGAGCTTGAAGCTCAGCCTTCTGGTGACTACGGAGTTCCCTCTTTGCCCTGTCCTGTTCCTCCCGGTTAAATACTGTAAAGGCCATGTTCAGCAGATCCCGGATAGGGATTTGAGGACCATCCTCAGCCTTCTTAAGCTGTTTTCTAATGTCTGGGGCTGACTGAGATATAAAATGGCTACTGTGGTGCCTCCAGGCGAGTCAGGGTCAAGCCTGGTATAGTGCTGGAGCACCTCTGTCAGGTGGCTAAGGAAGGCAGCAGGGTTTTTTGAGGCAGACTGGGTAATCTTCCTGAGCTTATGAAAGTTTATAGGTTTAGGCACTGCTGAATTGGAGACCAGCTAGGGGACAGGTAATAAAATGGTCTAGGTGAGCCCAGCCCCCGGCAACCCGCATCAATGTTAGTCTGGAATTCCCAGCCAGGCACCTGGCAGGGAACTGCTTCAGGGCCTGAGGGCATGGTTGTGTTAGTTAAGTGGATCTGATCTGCATGGTCTTGAGCAGACCGAAAAACACGTTCCTTTTATTACAGGTCAGGGTGGAAGAGAATATAACACGTAAAGCACGACTTGTAAGGTCATAGACTTGGGTAAGATAACGAAATTTTTGGGTGTAGGTAGTGAAAGAGCCAAGACGCTTTTTTTTAGAGGATTAGAGAACGCAGAAGAGGGGTTTGGAGAGGGCGAAGAGTGAGAGGAGTCTCAAGACTTTGAAAATATGGCAGGTTTTCAGGAGGGAGGGAAGGGGCGGAGCATAAGAGAAAGATAGCCTGGCCCTAAGGGAATTTCCAGCCACTTTTTCTGCCTACGGCAAAAGTTGTCTAAGTCGTTTAGAATTTTGGGGCCAAAAGAGCCCATTTTCAGCCACCTAGAGCCATTGTCCAATTCATATTTGGGCCAGGCCGTGGTGCAATAAAAATGAGGTGCTTAGATCTCACATCCAGCTTTAAATGTAGAGGACCAAGGGCCTTTAGGAGGCACCCCAAGGGGGTATCTGCTAGAATGCACGATTGTGTTGATCCCATAGTGAGTGTCCCTGTTAGGATCTCAAATGGAGGGTCGGGGAGGGAGGCCCGCGTCCCAGCGTCCCTGGTCCGATCCTCAGGAAATTGAGTGGGAGAGTGAAAGGGGAAGGTGGCATCCCGCGGTCCTCTTTACCTCCAAGAAATAGGACAGGTCGTCCCTGTGAGGAGACATCTCACCTCAGAGAGAGCCCCAAATGGAAGGTGCTGGTTGAACTGTTACAGGGCAGCCCCGATACAAAACGGGTTGCCTGACTGTGGGTCCTCATCCACGCACTTAAAAGGACTTATCAATGCTCTACTGCAGGAACACGTGAAAGGTTAATAAAAGGTTTACTTACAAGGGAAGGGGAAATGAGGAAATGTACAGCTCAGGGAGAAAAGTGGGAGACAGTTTTAAATGCGTCCTACCCAATTCGCCGATCAGGAATCCCAAATGGCACTCTGAGAGCTGGTTGCAAGCCAGGAGCCGTGAAGCCAGGAGGCGAGCGAGAGAGCGAGCCCCCCAAGGCCCACGTGTCTGGTTTTTATACCCAACCTGGCTGCTTAACTCCACCCTCAGGTCCCAGCCACCTTCCCTTTGGTGGTGACGGGATTTGTCTTTCCTGATGTCTTGATGACTTTGGTTTGGAGTGGGGGTGGGATCCACAAAGCCTGCATGGAATTAGCTCAGGACATCCTTTCCCCCTAACAGTTCCCCTGAGGAGACGTCTCACCTCAGAGGAAGCCCCAAATGGAAAGTGAGGATCAGGAGGGGGTAGCGCTCGCTAAATAAAAAGAAGTGACCTCTTTGATCCGAGGGACCCTAGAGGCAACAACTCACCCTGGGGGAGTCAAGAGTTAAGTGCTGGTGGTCCACAGGCCGGCTGAGTCTTTTCATTCTTTGTGATTATTTGGCGAAGTGCCTTAGGAGGAGAAGGTGGGCCAAAAGGAGGCAGAGGAGGATGGCCTCTCCAAGGGAGATGAGAAGAAGAAGTTGTTGAGGTGGAAGTGGCCACATGGATTGGAGTTACCAGGCAAGCCCAATAAGGGACTAGAGCAAGTCTCTGCTCCGCTCACATGGCAAGAGAGGCAGCGAGAGCCCATTCTCCCGCAGGGAGGGGTGCCCCGGGTCGCATACCAGCGGCGGCCGTTAAGCCTTAGTGAGCTCAGAGGGCTTCCTGGCTTCCAGTTCCATGGGGAGAGGTAGAGAGAGAGAGAGTGAACGAGAGGGAGAGTGGAGGGTTCGCAATGGGCAGGGTCCACTTGTGGGATTGAACCACATTCCTGGCCAATGCCCCAGATGAAAGGTTCAGCGTGGTAAAGAAAAGGAGAACCAGGCTAAATTTCTCAAAGGAAGGGAAAACTTATTGCGCCCTGGCGGACCTCACTGACCCAAGGTGGGCGTCCATGAAGCAGCACCCATGGTGAGGAGAGATGTTCCTTTTATAGGGGGAGGAGAGGTTAGGCAGGAAAACTGGGTTGGCAGGGGGGAAACAGGTTTAGGCGGAACAAAGTTGTTTTGGGTGGAGCCAAGTTGTTTTCTCCTGTTATGGCTTCAGTTTAGGTATGATGGCATCAGTGGTCCTGGTGTCAGGGTCATCTTGTCTTTTTCTGTATGGGCTTCCTCATTCCTGGCCCCTGCATCGACTTTTCATTACCTAATTGTATTAAAGTTCATTCCCATTAAAGTCTCATATGTTTTATGTTGATGTGGCAGATGGCAGAACCCATTTAAAGTAGGCAGGTGTGCGGGGTTGGGGTGGCCCTCTCCCTGCCCTTTAAAAGATTTGGCGACCCCAGATTTGGCACCCAATGTGATTTAGGACAGAGCCGTCTGTGGTTAGTCAGCCTCATAGGGAAATTGGGCTTCTCTGTGGCACTGGCTACTATAAGCACAAGTGTGATTTTTGGTTTCTCTAGTGTGTTTGTTTCATATGTAGATTTGCTGTTGAAAAACCGGCTTGGGCTTTGTCAAGATTCTGTGTGTCTGTGTGTAGTTTGTTTGTAGTGACTTGCTAAGAGATTTGATTTTGTGGAGATTGTTCTGTGCAGCAGTTTTACTCAAAAGATCAGGTAGTATGTTGGACCATGTGGCCAGATCAAAGATGGCGTCTGAGGCTACTTGGCAGGCTCTTGTAAAATTCAGTGGTTCTTGTTGCTAGAACTTTGGACCTTTTTTTCCCTTTCTTTTTGTGATCTCTGCTGTCTCATTAGCATTTCTAAAGGCAATAATGATTCTTCATCGATATGTTGCTTTGTCTTCAATTACTTCCTGACCTCTGCCTGAGGGGGTTTGCAAGCCAACTGTGGAGCTGTGGCATTTAAATTAGCAAATGTATGTCTTGGTGTTAAGGAAAGAGTAGCCTTAATCAGTAACTGGTAATTGCTGGTAGCCTTGATGGATTCTTGGAGAGAACTTGAATTTTTGCAAAGTCTGGATCAGAAAAATTAAAAAGATTTTGTCTGAGTCTGAAAGGATTTGCTGCTGTGAATTTTGTCTACACAATTTGTTTTGGGCATGTTTGCCATTTGAATTCTGGATTTAATTGCTGTTGTAAGACAAGATTCGAAGTTTCTGCTTCCTACTGAGGAAGGTCTGTTATGGACAGCACTCTTTATGGTGCGTCTTGTAACTGTACCAGGTTTTTGTTGTGCCCAAGGTCAGCAGACTCGGCGAGCATAGCCTCCAAGAACCCAAAGACAGCCGATGCAAACACAAAAGGGAGTTTATTACAGACTCGAGTCCAGGCTCACGGCACCTCCCAACGTAGCAGCAGGTATCGAGAGTCCTGAACAAAGGAAGCAGGGTTTTTTTAATAAGGTTAAATTATTCTGGCAGTTACTCATTGGCTACAAGGATGCGTTCTCCAACTTTGCCCAGCTATCCTTCTAAGCTGACTGGCCTGGCCGAGATGCAGCTCCAGCCTGCAGCTCCAATTACAGCAAGTTCACCCTCATTGGTGACCGGAGGGCGAGGGTGGAGTGAGGGTCAAAACTGTCGAAACTATCTCTGGAATGCAGTCATCTTTCCTGGGACAGCAAAACCTAAAATTCTAAAATGGCAGTTACACACAAAATGACAAAGAAATGGCTAAGAATACTTATGCCTGGTTCCACAGTTTTCATACCTATGTGGTTGTCCCTCCCTAGTGTGGGGGAGGTGTAATCTGTGCTTTGATGTTGAATCTGCTCTTTCAGCTTCTGTCCCAGAGTGGCTAACAGAAGTAAGGGGATGACTCCTCTTAATTGAAAGTTAATTGCTGATATTTTGATTTTGTTTTTTCATGCTCTGTTCCAGGAAACCCAAGCATTGCCTGCTTGGTGGCTAACAAGAGATGACTCCTTTTGCTTAAAAGTTAGCTGTTGCTTTTGCTCTTTCAGCTGCTGTACAGGATACCCCAGAATTGGCTTCCAATAAAAAGGCTTAAACACTGAAAATCCTAAAGTCATAAACGAGGTCATGTAACTCTTGTAATTAATAAAGCTTTTTCTTCCTATTTCCAAAGCCTTAGGTTTGTAGGATTGTTATAGGGCAGCCCCGATACAAAACAGGTTGCCTGACTGTGGGTCCGCTCCCGCACTCTTAAAAGGACTTATCAATGCTCTACTGCAGGCACACGTGAAAGGTTAATAAAAGGTTTATTCACAAGGGAAGGGCAAATGAGGAAATGTAAAGCTCTGGGAGAAAAGTGGGAGACAAAGTTTTAAATGCGTCCTACCCAATTCGCCGATCAGGAATCCCAAATGGCACTCTGAGAGCTGGTTGCAAGCCAGGAGCCGTGAAGCCAGGAGGCGAGCGACAGAGCGAGACCCCAAGGCCCATGTGTTTGGTTTTTATACCCAACCTGGCTGCTTAACTCCACCCTCAGGTCCCAGCCACCCTCCCTTTGGTGGTGACGGGATTTGTCTTTCCCAATGTCTTGATGACTTTGGTCTGGAGTGGGAGTGGAGTCCACAAAGCCTGCATGGAATTAGCTCAGGACATCCTTTCCCCCTAACAGGATGACAACTGGAAACTGATTTTTGCCAGCAACACTCCACATATTTTTTAGAGTTTGAGATTTTTATTTGAGCCTATGGAGTAAAACTGCAGTTACATAAGATATTCCATGTGTCATAACTAAAAAAAATTATCTGTCTGTATATTGTATGTCTGTGTGTCCTTGTGTCTAACTCTTGGCCTCTAGAGGTTAAAAAAATTGGTATACATGTTGCCTATAGACATTTAAAAAAAATAATCTCCAGTTATGACCAAAAAAACCAAAGTTTGTGGTTTGATTGTCAGCATTGTACCACTGAACTAAGCCGGTGCTTTTGTAACAGGGTGGTTCCCAGGAAATAGAGAGGTTCCAGGTTCCCTGTCCACCCAAAAGGAGGGTGGAGCTGAGCAGTGCGAGAAGCTGCAGAGGAGACTGAGGAAGGAAGGAAGCAGGATGGAGCCAGAAGGAGACCTGGAGGAGGCACATGGAGCCGAGACATGTGAAGAAACTGCACTTGCCTTTTGGTCATGGACTGGGTGACACAGATGTGGGGAGGTGACAGTGGCGGTTTTGTCTCCATTTTGATTTTACTCTTTTCCCTCCAGATTTGTCTGGTTGTTTCTGATCCTTTTCTGTGGGTCCCCAGTGGAAGATGCTTTAGACTGTGGCAGGCTTTGGGGCCTTGCTCTGGGCTAATCCCATTTGGATGGAATTTTACCCACGAGGGGATGGGTAGCTTTGGGTGCTTGATTTAGAAACTATATTCTTTGCCTTTCCTGTATTGTTTCCTAATTGTATTAAAGTTCCTTCCCATTAAAGTCTCATATGTTTCGTGTTGATGTGGCGGATAGCAGAACCCATTAAGAGTAGGCAGGTTTGGGTGTCTGGGGTGCCCCTCTCCCTGCCCTGTAACACTTTCATAGAGATTGAATATGGTTTTTGCTGTTGTTTTCTGATATTTATGGCAAAGCTTCCCAAAAATCTAGATTCAAGTAAAACATTTGGTAGGCTGTCATTTGGTTGATCTAAGGAAATTTTGTGGAACCTCAGTAGAGCTCCTGAGGCACTCCACAAAGTTTCTCCCTTTTCTCCTGGGAAAGGCATTAGATGAATTTGTCCTATTTGGTTTAACTAGTAAAGTAAAACTAGAAGGGAAGCATTGTCACTTGGGAAAATGGTAAATCTTTGGCATGTACAGAAATGTTAACATTGGTTTTCTAAAACGTGTATACAACCTCTCAGTACCTGACATGTATGTAAATTGTCGATGGTGATTGTCGCCTTGTAATATTGTATACTTAAATTGTTTGATATCTACAGAAATTGTTTCTGTAAAAAAAATAGGGGGTGAAGGCCTCAACAGATTCCTATTGACGGAACTTTTGATGGGTAAAAAAAATTTTACTACAAAGCACTGAATAGACTGTTGGAGATACACCTGACTTTTCCTAAGTTTTGACATAATACTGGAAATGTTGTTGCATTTTGTTCTGATTCAACAGTTTTCTTGTTTTGACTGACCAGGACCTGCACCAATGTTAAATTATTTTTTTTTCTTTTTTCAGCAGAGCTAACTTGTGTTTGCGTTTTCTTTCCTCTTGATACCAACACAGCATGAAAATAGTGGTAGTAATTTTTACTACTCATGTCAGTGTCTATATTTGCATAACTTCTATAGGGATTTTGTCTGCTTAAAACAAAAACAATTGGAGATGTGTTTCATTGTGTGGTTTTGAGTGGAGTTCTTTCCGGAAGTTGAAACAGAGCTGAACCAACAAGAGGAGAACTTGTTGCTTTGTTTGTAGGGTTCCAGAGACCTCCAAAGAAGATGAGGAAGCTTGCCTCCATTGGCAGGACTGGACAACCCAAAAAATGAAAAAAAGCCCTGGTACCCTCAAGAAGAGGAAGCCCAGGTGGAGTCTGGCGAGACCAACTTTGTTCTTGAAGCTTACGTGGACTGGATGTCAAGAATTTGCTCTGATCCTATATGGAGTATTCCAACAAAGTGAGCTAAAATTGCTGTTTGGTTATTCTGCTCTGATTTTATGCAAAAATGGGTAATATGGTTTAAAAGGTAATATGCCTTTTGGTTGTGGACTGGTTGACACAGATATGGGTGAGAGACCTGTGGGGAGGTAACAATGGCGGTTTTTGTCTTGATTTTGATTTTGCTCTTTTCCCTTCAGACTTGTCTGGTTGTTTCTGATTATTTTTTGAGGGTCCCCACTGGAAGGTGCTTTAGACCTGTGGCAGGCTTTGGGGCCTTGATCTGGGCCAATCCTGCTTGGGTGGACTTTTACCCAGGAGGGGACAGGTAACTTTGGGTGCTTGATTTAGAAACTATATCCTTTGCCTTTCCTGTATTGTTTCCTAATTGTATTAAAGTTCCTTCCCAATTGCAGTCTCATATGTTTTGTGTTGATGTGACGGATGGCAGAACCCATTTAGAGTAGGCAGGTTTGTGGGGTCTAGGTGCCCCTCTACCTGCCCTGTAACAACTTCTTCCCCAACTTTGTCACTTTTTTTGGCTATTCTGTCTGAAATTTCACTGTCACCCACACACTTCATATCCCTTTCCCTTCTTGAATTATTTCCCCTTGCCATTCATCACTACCTAATGTACAATTTCACTCATTTATCTTGCTTAGGGTTCATTCTCCCTCCTGAAGTGCTAAGGCAAACTTTTTTTTCCTGCTTTGTTCATGATGTATTGTTAGAAACTAGAACAGTGTCAGGCACCCAGTAGGTGCCCAATGAATATTTACTGAATGACTTGCCGAATTCTCCTTTCTTCTCATTCCCACTGGCAGCCAATCTAGTTTATTTTACATCTATGATGATTCCTGCTTCTCTCCTTTTCATGTGCTACTACTACTGCCACATTGGTTCAATTGTCACAATTTCTCAAAACTTTTGCAAGAGCTTGCCATCTGCTGGCTAATGAAATTTTTTTTAATTTAAAAATTTATTGAATTTATATATATTTTACATCATTGTTCATTTTTAAAAAATGCTTGCTTTCTCCCCACCACCACCACCTCCACCCTGGGCTAATGAAACTTGAGCAAATTATTTTACTTCATTTAACTCCTCACTTAGAAATCAGGATAATAATAGTATAAATGCATAGAACTTGGGGATATAACACAGGAAACTTGTTTATATAATACATAGACATAACTTGACCCAGTGTCTGGGATAAAATAACCATTCAATGAATATTAACTATTTTTAGCTGCTCAGCAGGACTGACTCTGGACTAGCTTCCCTGTCTCATGTCCTGCCCCACCTGCTCCACAATCCTATACTTCGACCCCAATGGATCCCTTGTAATTTTCCAGACAAGACATGAACTTTCACATTTTCCACATAATGCACATCAGGCAGGACCAGCTCACATTTTTCTCTTTAGCATTCAAAGCAGAGTGGACAAAGTAGCTCTGATTTACATCAAAGGAAGTGACAGGTGGAGAACTTATTTCACAGTTAGCAAAAGCTAAGAAATCTGTACTTAGTGTTTAGTTTGGAAGCATCAATTTTCACTAAACTGTACTATAATTTTTTAAATTAGGATAATGAAACTCAGGAAGAAACAACAACCTACCTGCAGTTATACAGTAAGAGAGGAGCTAATTTGAAGGAAGACTTATATAAACTTTGTACTCTTCACACCACAACAGCCTGGATATAAACCCAAAACAGTGTCATTTCCCAGGCCCCAGCATATATATGAGGACATACTTGAAGTTGCTGACTTGGAATCATGCCAAGGTAAACCATCTTCAACGTTAAGTAAAGGAGGCATCTTCTCAGGCACCACCATGAACCCCACACAGCACCTCGGCAGAGAGACAGATAGATACCTATATAAAATGTTTTAGGTTAAGGCAAGCTGCACAAAAATCAGAGAGTCACTCGGTGACTACATGAGTCACTTAGACATTTACCTGGACCAAGGCAGAAGATCAGTGTTAAAAACTGGAACAGCCAGTTCATGCTCCCAGCAGCAGAGATGTGCCAGACACTCCACTGCCTTGTCATCTATCACATAACTGAAAGCAATTCTTTCTGAGACTTCCTCTTCCTCTCAGAGGTCTAAGAAAGATCATTTCCCACACCAGCAGCACCAACTTTTAAAAAAAAATTTATTTACTTTTTTTCTGAGCTAGGTACAAAAATCTTAACTATATAATATGATTGGAAATTTTGCTATCTATATACATTTTCATTTTGGGGGAATTTTAAAACTTGTGGAAAAAAAACCCTAAATTACATATTGTGGTTACATACCCTAAAATTTATGTTTTTGCTGTGCAAGTGGAATTTAATTACATAAATTATATGTTTAGTGGAATTAATTATATTCACAAAGTTGTATAAACACAACATTTTCTATTTCTAAAAAAGCTTTCAGTCCCTGTGATAATGTGATTTTTAAAAAAATATTGGAGAATGATGTTACCAGGATGGAGACAGAGGTTGAGTTATTCCTGAACAACTATTCAGGAACAAGATACCCCTGAGAGAATCATCCTAGAACATGGGAGTGAGGCTGAAGCATCCACCTGCATTACAGAGACCAACTTAGTCTACATGAGAATGGTAAGAGGAGCAGCTATGTGATGACCAAATTGTGCCTCCCCTAGATGGCTCAGCACCTCATGGAGAAGTCTCCCTGTAACTTAAGTGGAAAAAAGAGCCTATTAATTTAACTAGTGATTCCAAGGATGATTTCCTAGAGCAGTGACACCTGAACAGGGCACCAAAGTTGTGTAAGTGGATGGGGTGGGGCACATTCCAGCCAAGGTGTGGACCTGCAGAGACAAAGGACCATGGACATGCAGGAGGTGCCAGGAATGAGAGGTGGGGATGTAGGGTAGGGTCTGTGGGGTGGGGGGCTGTGTCCAAATCATCATACAAATCCAGGCCTCTGCTTTTTCCATGCGTTCATCACCTGGAAGCCCTCTTCTTTCTACGCCAAATCCCACCCACTCTTAAAGGCTCGGCTTTAGCTCTGTCTCCCCCAAAGGTCTTTTCTTACAATGCTGGCTCATTATACTCTGGAGTTCAGAATTTAACTGCAGTGACAGTGCTGGAGCTGCATCCTCATTTCACCAGGGCAGAGGGCGTTTGCCTTACCCTTTGGGCCCTTGCAGCCCCCAACACAATGACAATGATTCATTCATTGGGACTCGTGACTTCATCCTGTCTGCATGTAGTCCATTTCTGTTCTCCAGTCTGGGATTATTCATGGGATGTAGAATTTGGCTGATTGTATTTGCTACATACGCAGGAAACAATTTCTCAGATGTTCCCGCCAATGTTCTGCTTACTTGGTGGGGGTTTCTCAGCACTGCAGCTGGGTGGGGGAGGGTACAAAACTCAGCTGAACACCGTGTCCTCTGGGCTGAGCCTCTGGAACTGCCCCCAATTTCATCACCTGCACCTTCATCTCCTGAGTGTCCCCCTGTAGAATAACTCTGCTTCCTTCAAGTTCTCTTGTTTTGATATTTGGGTTACAGTAAAGCCCTTTCAAGTACCAGAAAAATAGCTCATCAATTCCTTTTAGCGATTGAAGCAGCAGGTATGGTTTCTTCTTGCTGAGGCTGCTTGGAGTATATAGTAGTCTGGTTCTTCAGAGAAACAGAACCAAATGGAGAAAATAATAATAATAATAATGGTGATGATGATGATGCTGTTATGCAGGCCAAGATGTCCCAGATCTGCTGTCTGTAAACTAGAGACCCCAGAGAAGTGATGGTAATGGTTTCCATCTGAGTCAGAAGCCTGAGAACCAGGAGAGGTGATGGTGTAAGTTCCAGTCAAGTCCAAGCTCAAAGGCAGGAGAAGACCAACATCCCAGCTAGAAGGCAGTGAGGCAGAGAGAAAGAGCTCCCCCTCAGCCTGCCTCTTTGTTCCATTTAAGCTTGCAATGGGAATGGTGATGCCCACCCACACTGGTGTGTGTGTGTGTCTCCTTTATTCAGTCCATCAATTCAAATTCAGTGATAACACCCTCACAGACACTGAATAATGTTTAATCAAATATCTGGGCCCCATCAAGTGGAGCCATCAATTAATCATTACAGAGTGTTACAGAAGATGAGCTTGACCGGATGGAAAATTCCACAAGGCTTCTGAAACCTGAAGAAAATGCCCAACAGTGTGGTCGCCACCAAAGGGCCTTTTCCAACCCTCCCTCGTGAGTGTCTGCATGGCAGACAGTCCCAGCCCAGGCTCCCCCAGCACTGCCCCATGCCCCTCCGCTGGTGGAACCCCACAGAAGTTTCCAAGACAGAAGGCAAGTAGAGTTCAGGGCATGCACTTGGGGAGGTTCCCGGGTGCTGTGTGGACTGGCACAGGCCCTGTACCAAGCTTCTCACATATACTGAGTGTGGGCAGGCCTCCTCGGTGGAGTGCTATGGTGTATTACAGGCATGCGAATGTTAGTCTGCTGGGCACTTGGGGTTGAGGGAAGAGTCACATCTTTGGTCATAAGAAACTCCAGTCATGAGCAATCTTGAGCATTGACCCCACTGTGCCATAAGAATCCTGCTTTCTACATGTGCTGTGGTGTGAAGAAGTCTGGGAGGCCCTGCGCTGGCACAATCATCCACTCCTTAGAAGGCAAGTCCCCTCCCTGGGCCAGACTGACTTTCCCTCCGTGCGTATTCCAGGCAGGGGCCGTCCCGAGACCACTGCAAGAGACTTTGCAGGCTGCTCCCCATGACGATTGCTGACAGAGCTACCAGGAGCTGGGCTTCAGCTTTCCATCTGCTTGCCAGTCTGTTCCTGGTGTGGGTCTGTGTCTGCCCGGAGCCGGCACCTGTTTTCTAATTTTCATAACGTGACCTAGCAGTGTGGTATTACAGGCTGGAGTTTTCACAGAGTTCAGAGGCTGGGGGCACCGGTATTTAAGGTTGGGATTAGCATCACGGCCCATGGCTGGCATGGAGCTGGGGCAGGGCTCTGTGTGTATGTGACATACTGGAGACCACAGCTGTCAGCACTCAGTCCTGAGACTGGAAGGACGAGCCCGGAGCGCCCGCTGCCCCGGCTTGGGCAGACAGGGAGGGAGCACACAGGACAACAGGTGAACAGTCAGGAGTGTTTACCTTTTCCAAGGGTTGCACTGTGGAATACACTGAGTTCACTGCTTCCTCCTTGGGCAGGGACACCTATAAAACACCTGTCGACCAATTCGTGAGGGAGCTCTGGAAAATGTTAAGAACCCCTCCTGATTCTGCTCTACCTGTCACTCCTCGCTGGTGCCTCTTTCCCCAGGTGGCTGCCTCTTGGGGCCTCAGCTCTACTTTGGAGAGGATGGGGGTCAGGCAGAGTGGGGGTGGGACAGTGGGCACTAACTGAACAGAAACCTCTGGAGACACAAGGAGGGTTTGCATGGTTCAGACTGAGCTTTGCTTCCCATGCCCTGCGAATCCAGCTGTGCTGTCCATCTACATATAGTGCTCTACGACCAGACTGAACCAGTTTTCAGGGAGCAGGCTAGTGGAGGTACAGAAGGTGATGCAGTGTAGACACCTGCTCCAGGATGGAGTTGAACAGGACAGGTGACAAGGCAGGTGACAGGGAAGGATGGAGACAGAGTAACTGAGTCTAAGGGAGGTGATCTGCCACCAGGAACCCTCAGCACACTTCATGCAGGTGTGGGTGAGGCCACATCAGAGCCTTCACCAGGGACTCCCTTAGCTTGGCTCTTTAGGGAGCGCTCTTCTCCTAGTCCTGACTCACCTGAAAGTCCAGCCCAGTATGGAAACTCAGGGCCTCCAGCCTTGGGCACCAAAAGCTACCAGGGAAACAGTTGGCTACTTTCTGTCCTCCTAGAAGGACTCAAGGCACTATTACCCAGGAGTGGCATTTCCAGCACGACCCTCCAGATCTTTGGTCATGGCCCTGGTCTAGGCTATTGCTCACTCCCAATCTGGGTGGGCAGATCACGAGAAGTGTGGCTTACCGTGGTCTGGAGGATTTAATCAATCTATCCTGGATTCTGCTGGCCAGGTGGTCCCTGGAACATTTTTGTATATTTTCTCTGCATTAGCATCTGTGTCACAAATAAAGGTAAAACCACGGAATGTGAAAGGAAGAAGATTTTATGAATGATCTCTCTTTAAGATGAAGTAATGAGGCCTACCAGATTAACTAGTGCCGTCTCCTAGAAGAATTGCTATGGTCACGAAGAAACCCAGCATAGGCCTCCTTAGAGCTCCATAGGAATTCTCTTCTACTCAGGAATCTACTTTAGGCTGAAGGGATTCTCCCTTTCCTCATGCAGGTACTCAGAATAACTCTCCCACATGAGGTCTTTCTTAGGGTCTCTGTACAGCTACTTATCTTTTTACAGGAGATCTCAGGTTTTCAATAAGGTGGTTTCTCTCCAGTTATATCTGTGTTGGATTCCTCCAGTGGGTACCTTATTACCTTAGTGTTGAACACATAGTAGATGCTCCTGGCTACCTTGCTTGATTGAGTCATAAAGTCAGACATTTATTAAGCTCCCTCCTGTGCCAGGAGTTGTGAGGTGATTGGTAGAAAAGGGAGATTTGAGGTGGACATGGGTAAGAGAAATAGGGGTTATGGGGGCATAATGATCTCCTTGGGGCCAAAGATAATGTTTCCTGAATTGAGAATGGCATCATACAAAATGTTCCAGAGGGACCTTATGACAACCATGGAATACAAATGAGTACATGTCCCTTAATGACTCCCCAAAGATCATGGTCAAAACTCAGTGGAACTGAAGTGACCCCGGAGACCCCTGGAGACCCTCTAGTCCAAACCTCACTTCACACATGAGAACACTGAGCCAGAGATACTGGTCTAATGAAGCACAGCTTGTTAATGTCAGCGCTAAACTTGAACCCAAGTTCCAGGCCCACCAGACTCTGGGGATCCCAGAACAGCTTTGAGGCAATGTCACACAGTCCTTGGGAACCTTTTTCTGACACTGGTGAGGTGGGAGGGAGGGGAGTGTAAGAGGGTTGATTCTCTAGAACAAAGGACCTCTCCACATCACTGGGGAGAAATAACTTTGGTTCCAGGGAGTAGGAAAATGCTTTCCCACATTTTACCTTCTGGGAAAATCCTACCTTGACCTCTTTTGCGCAGAAGAAGCAGAATTACTGGCAATATGATGAACATAAACAGGAAAAGCACAGCCATTGTACTCAGCAGCACAATGTGGCGTCTCTGGTGGTTCAGCCCAGTGTCTGGAAAGAGAAGTTACAGTAAGACTAGGACTTTAGGAAACAGGCCCAAACGGCTGGGCAGGCTTGGTACCTTCAGGGACACAATCAAAATTAGGTGACCTTCAGGGGTACGCCAAAGCTCCAGGAGAGCACTTCTTGCTATTAGAAAACTTGCTATTAATCAGAGGTGGCTGGCAACTCTCAGAAGACTCTGGACACTTTAAGGTCACCCTGGGAGGAGACACCCAAGGACCAGCCCACTGCAAGGGAGGTGTATACCCCAGAGAATGAAGCCCAGACTCAGACCTTGCAGCTCTTCTGAGTGACTGCTGAGGGCTCCGGGAGGACAAGACTGAGCTGCTTACCTGAGCAAAGCTGCTGGGCAGAGATAGACTCAGAGCTGTTGCTGACAGGGTTCCAGGCCGTGCAGGTGTAAGTATGCTCTGGGTCTTCGTGGCTCTGGAAAATTCGAATGATGTTCCCCTCTCTCCCCAGGGGACTCCAACTATATGTTACATTTTTGTCTTCTTCCTCCACAAAGCATGTCAGTGTGACATTACAGGTGCTGTTCACAGAGGTCATTAAACTCGGAGTAATTTTTGGCTTCCCAAGCCGACCTGTGAGGGAAAACATGAGCAAGAAGTCAACTGGGGCTGACTCTCACCAGCTGTGAGAGTCAACTGTTACATTTCAAAAAACTGTCAAGATGGTGGTTAAATAGAACTGTCACAAAATATTGAATTATAAAGACTTACAATTAAATTATATTAAAAACAAAGCTAATAAATACTCAAAGTTCACCACTTTCTATTTCCTTTTGGACATTTTGCTGTTATCTACGCTCTCAAAGTTATTTCACCTATTGTATATGTCCTTTGTAATGATGTATGACTTATTCCCAACTCCATATGTCTTTTTTTTTTTTTGTGGTTTTTTTTTTAAATTTATTTTTATTATTTATGCAAGCACTGGGTACAGTCAGAAGCGCAGGAGGGTGAGAGAATTCACCAGAGCCAGAGCGGGGAGCAGAGCAGGCAGAAGGACCGAAGTACACTGCTGAGGGGAGCAGCGGGCAGCTGGAGAGGTCTGTGCGCCATGTGGGACCCTCCTCCGGTGGCCGGGGAGCAGCCGGGGATCGAACCGGTGCTACCGAGGCTGCAGGCAGCTTCGCAACCCAGCGCTCAACCGCTGCGCCACCGGGGAGGCCCAACTCCATATGTCTTTAAAGCAACCAGGATGAGGGCCTCCCCGGTGGCGCAGCGGGTTGAGCGCCACATTGTGAAGCTGTCCTCAGCCTCTGCAGTGCAGGTTCGATTCCTGGCCAGCCAGGGAGATTCCCACATGGTGTGGCAGCCCTCTCCTGTCTTGTCTGCTGCTTCCTTTAGCAGTGTATTTCAGTCAGTCTGCCTGTTTGCGCCCCGCTCTGTCTCTGGTGACTCCTCTCATCCTCCCGCACCTATGTCCTATACCCTCGGTCTTGTATAAAAATAAATAAATCTTTAAAAAAAAAAAAAAAAGCAACCAGGATGAGAATAGATGCACCAGAGAAAGTGAAAAAAGTCAATCTTAGAAGCATGCATACTGCATGATTCCCGATATATAATGTTTGTGAAGTAACATAATCATATACATGAAGAAAGGATTTGTCTTCCAGGAATTAGGGAGGGAGAAGGGGTAAAAAGTGACTCTGAAGGGATGAAAGAATCTTGTGGCCATGTTATCTTAAGTGTGATTGTGGTAGTGCTCACGTGAAGCTACATGTGTGATTATGTTGAAAAGAGCTACTCCATGCTCACACATGTGAGTAAATGTGTAACATGTGGTGACATCTAACTACACTCTGTAGGTGGACCCAATGTTGATTTTCGTTTTTTTTGTTTTGTTTTGTTTTTTTGTTGATTTTTGGTTTTGATGCTGTACTGTAGTTAGGTGAGATGTTACTATTAGGAGAGGCTGACTGAAGGGTACACAGAACCTCCCCACACATTTCTTTACATTTTCTTTTTTTATCTATAATTATTTCAAAATAAAAGGATCTTTTACAAAAGGGCTTTACATACACTGGTCCTCACAAGAACTGTAGGACGTGAGTGGTGTGATTGTACATGTTTTATAGGAAAGAAAAGCAAGGCCCAGGGAACAACCGTTATGGAAGATTCCATGGGTAAAAACAAAGCCACACCCTCTTTTTATGTGTTGATAAAATTAACTAAGTTTATGTATAAAAAAATTTAGGGAATCCAATTATCAGAAAAATAGCAAAATTGCAAAGCAAAACCTTCAATTTACCCACAACTCACGGTAGATTTGAAGGTTGTAACGCTTGGTTTCGGTAGTGCTTGAGGTCTTCAAAGTTATGTCGGCCGAGTAGATGCCTGCATCTTCCATCCCAAGATTTCTCATCTCCAGGTTGTAGTTCTGACCTGAGACATTTATTCGGTCATTATAACTGTTGTGAGTCACAATGACTTTGGGTACTGTTCCTGAGTCTCCTGGTTGTACAAAAGCAATTGATGTTTTGAACTGCCAAACAATGCTTCCAACTTGCTGTGATTCTGGGATATTCAAGGGGAAAGTAACTGACTCCCCCAGGATCCCGTTCACGGTGCAGACATCTGTGTTACTTCCAGCTGGTTCTGGCCCTGAGAACACAAATAGAAAAACCACTGTGCCTGTTAGAGTCCCTTGTCCTCCCATCTCATCCACTTTCCTGAGAATGCTTCTTTTCTTGGGCATCGACTTTGGAAGGGGGCATTCTACTCAAGGTATGTCTAATACGTTATGATGACCATGTAGTTCCTAAAAATTCTCATTTTTAAAAAAATTGATTCATTTATGTATAGGGTGTAGGCCAGAGGTGTGGGGGTAAGAATTCATCAGAGACAGAGTGGGGAGCAGAACTGGCAGACTGACTGAAATACGCTGCTGAGAGGAGCAGCTGGTGAGACAGGAGAGGTCTGCTGCAGCCATGTGGGTTACTTCCCTAGCCAGGGATCGAACTCATGTTTCAGTGACTGCCAATAGCTACATAGTGCTGAGACTTAACACCTTGTGCCACCAGGGAGCCCTGAAGATTCTCATTTAAAAACTAAGTTTCTGGACCTCCCTAGTGGCGCAGGCAGTTGAGCACTGCACTGTGAAGCTTTTTGCAGCCTCTGCATGGCGGGTTCAATCCCGGCCAGCTGGCAAGAATCCCACCGGCGCAGCAGACCTCTCCTGTCTCGCCAGCTGCTCCCCTCAGCAGTGTGTTTTGTCAATCTGCCTGTTCTGTTCCCCGCTCTGTCTCTGGTGAATCCTCTCACCCTCCTGCTTATCTGGCCTGTACCCTGGTTCTTATATAAAAATAAATAAATCTTTTTTTTTTTTTGTGATGAGAATTCTTAGGATTTACTCTCAGTTATCATACAGATATACAGATATGTGAGCTATGGTCATCATGCTGCACATTACAACCCTGATAGTGTTTTTTAAAAATAAATAAATCTTAAAAAAATAAAAACTAAGTTTCCAAGTCAATTTCAAGGCTCCACTTTGTTTAAAACTCCTCTGGACTTTAAGACTCAGAACTAAAAGAGGTTTGAGAGATGAAGACCACAAACTCAACGAGGTCCAAGATATCAAATATCTTTCTTTCCAGATCACATTGCCAAGCAGAAGAGCTGGGACAAGAGCCAGGGATGTTGTTATTACTTCTCCTGTGATCTTTGCTGAAAGGTCATTACTACACTCCTCTTCCTAGAAGATACTGGCAGAGCAATTCAGCAGATCTGGAGGAGACATGCTCCAAATTGGTGATTTCTTATATATTTTGTTGTTGTTCACTACTATATCCCCAGTCTCTAAAAGAGTACCTGACACGTAGTGGGTGCTTAGTCAATACTTATGGAATGAATTAACAAGTGGAATTCACTTACCATTGCCTAAAATCTGTTGGAAAAATTTCTAAAGTAAGCAAAGTTACATTCATTCACTCACACATTTATGAATGAGAATGCTCGCCTTCATTCAAAGTCCACTTTCTTTCTGGACACCACAGTATGTGTTTATTAATATAATTTATGGTACAAGTGTTTATTGAGCATCTACTCTGTTAAACATGATGAGAGGCGCTGTGGATACAATGGTGAGTAAAATAGATGTAGTGTCTGCTCTCTGGAGCATAGCAGTTTAAGGAAAAGACCAATGTTGACCAGTGGTTAGAAACCACTTGTTCCTGGGAATTCAAGAAATTTGTCCAGGAAAGACTAAAGGATTAGAGCTCTTAAAATATGACATGGGGGGCCCTCCCAGTGGTGTAGTGGATTGAGCATAGCGTTGTGAAGCTCTCCACAGCCTCTGCAGCACAGGTTTGATTCCTGGCCAGCCAGGGAGGTTCCCACATGGCGCAGCAGACCTTTCCTGTCATGCCCGCTGCTCCCCTCGGCAGTGTATTTCAGTCAATCTGCCTGTTCTGTTCCCCACTCTGTCTCTGGTGAATCCTCTCATTCTCCCGTGCCTCTGGCAAGTAACCCAGTTCTTGTATTAAAAAAAATAAATAAATCTTAAAAAACAATATGATATGGGGGAAATAAAGGGTTTATTTTCTTCTCTTTCTTTGCTTTTCCATCACCTTGTAAAGGTAACATAATTATAAGGTGCTTTTTTTCCTCTTCCTTTTCCTCTTCCTTTGTTACCTGTTATTCTCTCTGAGCTCTATTTAGTGAAGAATAGTTTTGGGACAGCAAGGGTGACATTCAAAATATTTAATTACTAATTAAAATGTTTAACCAATCAGGAAGGGCACCAGCCATTAACAATAATTGGTTCATTCTGATGAGTACTAGCTGCATGTAAGCACCCAAGAGCAGGACGTATGTATTCCACATAGGTGGGCTCAGACTGCTCCTAACTTTTACCCAGGGTTTGGCATAAAGAGGGAAGGAGAAGGATCCTTGAGAACACCAGTCATTTTGAAGTGTCACAAAACCAAGGGATTTCTCAAACACATGGCTGCCCCTGCCTCCCAGCACAGTAACTCCTGAATGGGGCTGGAAGCTGCTAATGTCTTTCTTTCCTTTTCAGATCAACCAAGTCTTTCCTTAGGAAGAATATTCCAGGCAAGTTCTTATGACCTAGTTGGGGTGCAAGTTCAGAAGGAGACGGTACAGGGCCCTTGGAGGCGGGGAGGGAAGAACAAGGACCCTTATCTACTGTCATTAAGGGCTGCGTGCCAGGTGCTGGGTTAGGGACTCAGAGGCAGGTGCAGTCTTGAGAGCTCACAGCCCAGAGAGTAAGACAGATGCATATACAAATGAAAAATAAGACCAGGGGTGATTGTTAGGTGAAGGAAACAGAAGGGGAACAGAAGAGACTAAGGCTGCCTTTGGTGGCAGGAGGTATAATTTGCCAATATTTATTTCCTTGAACATTAATTCTCTGTAGATAAGCTGATGAGGTCTGGTAGAAGGACCCAAATTCCCTGGACCAACAAATGTGTACGTATGATCTGTGTGGTCACACAAGCCTCCAGCCCAGAAAGACAATGAGCTTCATTTAATATGGCCATGCATCTGGACATTCTTAGTGATATTTGAACAAGGGCCTCCACATTTTCATGTTGTGCTGGGCTCCCCAAATTGTATACTTGCTCTTGGTCTCAGACCTCCCATGTCTGTGAAGGCTTTTTGAAGTTAGGTCCTAGCACCTAAATGCCATTCTACTCATCAGATTCAGGTTAGGTGTGAAAAAGAAAGGACAGGATGTGGGAGCCATAGACTCATGGTTCTGGTAGGTTCTGTCATCAAACCCAGGAAATATGTAGGCCTTCCACTAAGGCTGAGATCTTAGTATTAGAACAATGTACAGCCACAGGATGGTATGAGGGTATGATGTGTAGTTGTGTTATCTCCTGTAAAGTCATTCAGGAAGCGATGCTGGGGTAGCAGATAGGGGTAGCTGGGGAAGTCCTGCAGCTATTTGTGCTGTTGGTGTTATTCCTGAGAATCCTGTGCATGCTGAGAAAAGGCATGGAATGTGAACAGTCCTAAGATGAAGATTTTGCTACCTTCGAACACATCAAATGTGGATTGCGGGAAAATCCATTACACATAGCTGTGGTTTTATAATCCCAAAGCCACTGCATGTAGGGGAAAGATAGGGGACTAAAGATGTGGGTGCTGGGGTAGAAGATAGTGGGGAAACCCTGCACCTACTTGTGCTGCTAGTGTTATTCCTACCTATAAGTTGGGCACTTAATAAAGCCATAGACCCTTTATGAGTCAGTTTCTTCATCCACAGAATGGAAATAATAACTATAAAATTTGCCCAATCTAATTAGTGATCAGTGAATAGTATGAAATACTCTGTGAATCATCACGGCAATCTAAATGTTAGTTATTTCTGAAGTTGATAATGAAAATGAGGAGGATGATACCCATCTTCATCGTCATCTTAATAATTGGTACATACACTTCAAGGCTTCCCTAGTCCATCTGTGAGGGCCTGTTGACACCATGGTCACACTGACAATGTATGAGTCATTATTAAGGGCTAGTTCAAGTAAAGCCATGAGGGAGAGTTTTTGGTGGCACTCCACTTGGTGGAGTTTATTCTTTCTTTAAACACTTAAGACTTTTTTTTTTTTAATAAAGAACCTTCCTATCAGTCAACCTCAATACTTATTTTTCTAGATGCTGACGGGACTCAAACATTAGTGTTGGTGGGGGCACGGCAAGCCAGGAAAGAAGCAGCAGTCAAGCATTGAGAAATCTTGTGACATTCTCCTTGAGAATGGAAAGTCCTTGATCACAGGATTTTTAAGAAAAAGGAAACTACCAGCCCCAGCGAATAGTTACTATTTTCTATATTTCTTGATTTGTATCATCTTTATGAGATTTGGGTTAACCTGAATCTTCTTCTTTAAAACAAAGATGCGCAATCAAGCACACACGCAAATTCGAAAACGAATGTAGAATAGTGGCCATGCATTATTACATCTCTATTCCTCTGTAATAGCACACTTTTATTATTTATATATTAATTATTATTATTGAGCATAAAGATGGAAATAAGGAACATAAACATCTCTACAGATATCAGTCCTCCAACTAATTTCCTGTACCTCTTTCTAGTTTCTACACAGATGAACCTAGGTGCTTCCAAACTTGCAGATTTTTTTCTCCTGAGTTTTAAGACAAGAAAGGGTTGATTCAGGGCCTCCCCGGTGGCGCAGCGGTTGAGCGCTGGGTTGCGAAGCTGCCTGCAACCTCTGCAGCCGGTTCGATCCCCGGCTGCTCCCCGGCCACCGGAGGAGGGTCCCACGTGGCGCGCAGACCTCTCCTGCCGCCCGCTGCTCCCCTCAGCAGTGTCCTTCGGTCCTTCTGCCTGCTCTGCTCCCCGCTCTGGCTCTGGTGAATTCTCTCACCCTCCCGCGCTTCTGACTGTACCCAGTGCATGTATAAACCAAACAAACAAACAAATAATAAATAAATAAATAAGACATGCCTCTAGAAAATTAAAAAAAATAAAAAAAAAAAAAAAAGAACTAAGAAAGGGTTGATTCAGAAGAATCTTTGGTAGACTATCAGCATTGACCTTGGGTTACCAGCATTGACCTTGGGTTCCTGCTGTGGACGTACTTGGCTATTTTGTCAGTCACCATATTGATAAGAAGAGCTTTGGGGTACATGGCACTCCTGAGGCAGGTCTCTGCTTCTTCCTACTGGTGTCCTGTGTGATTAAGATGTGCAGATTCACAACCTTTATTTATAAACTGGATTTTTGCACTTATGTACCAATATCCCATGTTCCCCATTCACAATTTATTCTTCATTCTGTGACTGGGGGTCTGCTTTTGACCCCTTTGTGAATGCAGCAGCAGCCTGTTTAAGACTCTTCCTAGAACACAGAATGTCTTTATCTTGAGGCTCCTCCATGTAAGGATGTTGGATCAATGACAAATTGGCTCTTGTACACACTCTTCTCCAGGCATGAAATCTTCTAACTTGGGCCCTATTTAACCATGGACAGATACCCACTTTTGTCTACATACCTGTTGGACTTTTATGTATCAACTGCTAGAATACCCCACAATGGTGTTTTCTCTTCATCAGGGCTTCAAAGTTCTGTCTATATTGGACCCTTGTTTGTAGAAGTTAATTTAGGTTACCTCAAATCAAATATGTGAATGGTACCTGAATGATATCTATATATAGTCATTCTTTGGATCTTCTGCCTAGTGCCCCTACCTTAATTTCTGATGTTGGTGAAGACCTGCCCACCAGCCCCCACCCTCCTCTGCAGGTAGTTGTGAGATAGGTCCAGCCTCTGACTGAACTATCCTGTCTTGATGGAAATAAATCACAACTTTTCACTGACAAATCACCAAATGGTAATGAATGATCGGCAGAGGGACAGTGAGTCTTGGTTCTTAGACAAAACTTCTCCAATACGGAAGAGTCATGACTTTGCACACTCAGACTTATTTCCATATTTTCAAGAAAAAATGGGAAATTTCTAACTTCCTTTCTCCACTACTTCTCCACTGCCTCAATGCTCTTATTTCAGGGAAGTACATAAGATCAGTGTTGATTCCTAAGCTGAAGGCTAAATTTAAGGAACCACTGTTGCCAGAAAAACAGCAGGAGAAATTTAGGGTATATTTCTACACTAAGGAAATGTTTGTGGATTAATCCATAGAAGGCAAATAGATAACTCAGCAAAGGCAAATTGTATGTGGAAGCACCTCTGATTTTCACTTCTACAAAAAGAAACCCCAGCTCAATTCAACGGTCCCTGACAATGGATATCGCACCCTTCCTTGGCATCCTTTCTAGAACCCCAAGAGCCCACACCTAAGCAAAAACTCCCACCATTTTCTCCCACTCACGTTCCGTGGATCACCCCCAAACAGAGACATGTTGCCTAGAACCTCTGGCTTTGGCCTTCACTCTTCCTAATATGATGTTAAAGCAAATCTGAAAACAGAAACAGCCTTACCTAATACTTGCGCAGCACTTACTATTTTCAGGTACTGCAACAAGTGCTAAACATAGCTTGTAATTTTGATTCTCAAAATAATCATATTGGACTAGTAGTTCCCCATTTTAAAATTTAAAAAAAGCATGTTTATACAGTTTCCCCAAAATCACAAAACAAATGGATGAATGATTCATGACCAGTTGGATTTGAAAAGATTGATTGCAGTTTCAGTAGATGAGGCGCATGTTATCTCAGAACTGCCTTTTATTTCAGCATGTGTCAGTCCTCCTTAGAGCATCAAGGGTTTCAATATGTACTGAGTTGGGAAGTCAGAGAGAGCATGGGCCAGAAAGAGGAGCAGTCATGGGATTAGAAGAATGAGTTCAATTTCTAATAGTACCACTTCAGGTTGTAAAATTTTAGATGAAGTATTTGACTTGAATCTTAATCCATACTTAAAAAAAAAAAATAACAGGGCCTCCCCTGGTGGCGCAGCGGTTGAGCGCTGGGCTGAGAAGCTGCCCGCAGCCTCTGCAGCATCGGCTCCATCCCCGGCCACCGGCGAGGGGATGGCGCGCAGACCTCTCCTGCCGCGTCCGCTGGTCCCCTCAGCAGTGTATTTCATCAGTCTGCCTGTTCTGTTTCCTGCTCTGGCTCTGGTGAATTCTCTCACCCTTCCACGCTTCTGACTGTACCCAGTGTTTGTATAAATAAATAAATAAATCTTCACACACATACACACACACACACACACAGACACACACACACACAGACACACACACACAAAATAACAGGGGCCTCCCTGGTAGCGCAGTGGGTTGAGTGCAGTGCCGGGAAGCTGTTGCAGCCTCTGCAGTGCAGGTTCGATTCTCAGCTGGCCAGGGAGCTACCCACCTAGCGCGGCAGACCTCTCCTGTCTCCCCCGCTGCTCCCAGTTCCGTCTGCCTATTCTGCTCTCCCTCTGTCTCTGGTGAATTCTCTCACCCTCACGGGCCTCTGGCCTGTACCCCAGTTCTTGTATAAATAAAAAATAAATCTAAAATAATAGTAGAAAAATAACAGGATTAATAATATTCTTCTTGTTTATTTTAATGATTTTAGTATGGATCACAAGAATGTCAAGATCAAAATTGTAGAAGGCTTTGCAAACTAAGTAGTATCAAATGCATGATGGCCAGCCTTCTCTGGAAACTGGGGACATTCCTGTATTTTCCATGTAGGTTCTATCCAACTGTTCACTATCTACTTGCATTTTCTGCTTCCTACATCAGGGTGACTAGCACAAGCTCCAAAGCCATAGGCTTGTCTAGTGGGTATAATCTCCATGAAGCTTGAATTAAAGGAACCACAGCTATAAATGGTCAAGGAAATGCAAGAGACCAAGGTGTATCAATTCTACCTTTTCAGGAAATCCTAACCCACTGGATTCTTTATATTCTAAATCATGCCAGGAATATGCTGGTGCTTTTATAGAACTTGTGAGAGGTGCTATAAGTAGATTTATTAAATAAGAAATAAAGTCAATTTTGACTTTAACTAAGCAATTGTTTGGATTAAATGAGATAATATATACAAAAACACTCAGACCTAGATTAATGATACAATTTTCTTTGTGCTAACAACAGCCAGTGGTCATTTTGTTCTTCATAATTAAGCCATAGTAAGAAAAGAGAGTTTTTCATTCAAGTTCTCCATCTCTTTTTTGAGACTTATCTTGTTTGTAAAATAGGGATAGTAATGTCATCCCCATTTATTTTAGAGAGCTTTTGGAGGATATAAACAGAGAATAGCTCAGAATTTGCTTTGCAAAGAAAGGGAACATACAAAGATTAAGTTTTCAAAGTGATAATTATGATCATGTGTCACTCTAATCTGGGAGAGCAATGAGATATAACTGGGAAGTGCATGTCTGTCAAAAGTAGGTAATACATTTTATTTTATTTTTTCCTAATTTTTTATTGTATCACTTTTTTCATTAATGTAACATTGGTTTATTTATTTTTTAAAAAGATTTATTTATTTGTACAAGCACTGGGATACAGGCCAGAGGCACGGGAGGGTAGGAGGATTCACCAGAGACAGAGCAGGGAGCAGAACAGGTAGAAGGACCGAAATACACTGCTGAGGGGAGCAGCGGGCGAGGCAGGAGAGGTCTGCTGCGCCATATGGGTTTCTCCCTGGCCTGCCGGAAATCAAACCGGTGCTGCAGAGGCAGCAGACAGCTTCACAGCGCTGTGCTCAACCCGCTGCACCACTGTGTGGTTTAAACCACCACCCATTGGTTTAAACATGGTATGTGATTCAGAGGTATAGGTTCATATCTCTTCAACCCACCCCCCAAAGAATTTGCACTTAAGTTAGTCAAGGTTTTGGATGATCTGTTCTTTCTTGGGGGTCTCTGGGTAGTTCAACCAAGTGTTAACATTCTTAAACAGAAGAGTTCATTACGACCTTTGGAGGCTGGGTGGAGACAAAATTCAGAAATATAAACTCTAAAGCTAAAAAATAATTATGTTTTTCCCCAGTCAGATGGATCCTTCTAGAGACCTAGTGTGTGTCTGTTAAGACAGATCAAAGGTGCATTTCAGCATCTTTCTGAAGGGAAATTTCTAAAAGTAGAACACTAGAAGGGAGTCAGCAAGGGTCAAAACTCACAGGTTTGCAGGCAAAGGAGCAAGATCCATAGGAGGGGCTGAGCCATCTTCTCCAGGGCTGGTCTTCCGTGGGTGAGAATGGCAGGAACTCTGCTAGCAGGGAGCTGGTTTCACTTGTGTTTTTGTGCTCCATTTATAGACAGATTAATTAGGAAGTCTGAAAAAAAGTCTAATTTTCATCATTCAGCAGAAAATTAACCCCCTTTACCCAGCAGAATGCTGAAACTATATAATGTTATAAACCAAAGCTATTTCAATAAAATTTTTTTACAAAAAAGGAAGTATGAGTTAACTGACTTAGGAAAAGTTGATCTATACTTTACGATGCTCGTTTTCCCCCATTATATAACATTAATGCCTAGTATTATTTATTCAACAAGTATTTACTGACTGCCTACTAGGTGTCAGGTGCTATTTAGGGAACTGGCAATATAAAGAGCAGCAAAGTAACTATCTTGCTCTTTTCCTGAGCCCATGTTGTTGTGGGGAGCTCAACAATGAAACGGGTAATTTCAACATAGTGTGATAAGGAGAGCAATGGAGAAAATGAAGGGAAATGGAACTTCCTAGATTATTTAATTTCACAGGATTAAACTGTATTCCTTTCACATTTTTAGCAAGCTTGATTCCCTTAAATATATAATTACTGCATGTGCAAAAACATACCTCTATCATGCATGCAGAGAGAAACAAGAAAGAAGTCATGAAGCTGTCACGTGCTGTTGAAAACCTGACTTTGTATTCCCTTTCTTCCATCTTCTACTTTCTCAGCAGAATGCATATGTTTCTTTCTTTTTATTTTTTTAATTTTATATATTTTTTACATCATTTTTCATTTTTGTGCAATGCATGCATTTTCACCTTGGTTTTTGTCCCGTAAAATTCCCACCCCCCTTGTTGTGATCCTTCTCCCTTCTGTGTCTCTGGCTTATAGTTGACTGTTGATTTTGATTTTTACTTTATTACAATTAGTCTTTTTTTAAATATTCTATTTTATATAATTCTTACATCATTTTTCATTTTTGCACAATGTATGCATTTTCACTTTGGTTATATTCCCCACACCATTGTACTCCCCTTATTTTGACCCTAACCCTTCCTCTCTCTTCTCCTCCCCCCCAGTAGTGTGTCTCTGGTTTATAGTTGCTTATTGATTTTGATTAGTCTTTTTCCTGGTCCCTTATTTAGGTTTTCTAACTTCCTGCTATGAGTGAGACCATCCAGTATTTTTCTTTTTCTTTCTGGTTTATTTTGCTGAGCATGATCCCTTCCAGCTCCATCCATGTTGCTGCAAATGGCATGAATTTATCTTTTTTGATTGCTGAGTAATATTCCATTGTGTATATGTACCCCAGGATGCATGTATTTTTTAAGCTATTGCTCAGAGTCAATTATTATCACCTAATTCAGATCTTCAGTTCATAAGGAAAGGTTCAGATTTTAAACAGAATTCTTTTTCTTCCTGTTTTCTTCTTTTTCTCTTTACCTCTCCTACTTTTTTCAAAAATGATTGAAGTGAAGATAAGAAAAATAACTTAAAATAATAAAATTGATGTTAGGGGCCTCCCTGGTGGCACAAGGGGTTAAGCGTCAGCACTATGGAAGGAATCCCCAGCTACTGCAGCATGGAGCTAACACACATTGCGTGGCAGACCTCTCCTGTCTCTCCTGCTGCTCCCCTTAGTAGTGTATTACAGTAGCTCTACCTGCTCTGCTCCCCACTCTGTTTCTGGTAAATCCTCTCACATTGTCCCCTACTCCGCACCTCTGGCCTATACCCTAGTACTTGTATGCATAAAAAATAAATCTTAAAAAAAATAAAATTGATGTTAGTTTAAAAAAGTACATGCTTCTTAAAAATTCCTGCAATCTGAAATTAGAGACAGATAGAGATGAAAAACAAATTGAATTCTATATGTAGGAAGAAGAATTATTCTGTGTGCATAGAAAAGACAAATAATTATGGAAATTAAGCAGAACAGAGAAAGAAAAAAATACTTGTTTACCAGGAGGAACAATATGGCAGCTCTAAGTTAAAAGTGGTTCTTCCCCTTCTTCTTTGGATTCTCTCCTTTTTTCTCCTTCCATCCTGCATCACCAGTTTCTCCCTGATGAGTGGACAAACACACAAATATACTTTATAACTTAATTCCAAATGTTTCACATCCTCTGTTAAACACTATCTCATTTCTTTGCTCCCATTTCTTTGCTCTCATTTCTTCGCTCCCATTAAAAGCAAGTCTTACTGAAATGACTCCATTGTCAATGTTTCCGTTTCCTTATTTTTCAAATCGCCCTCTCCAAGGCCTCTCCCGACTCCACTGAAACTCCTACAGTCAAGTTCATCCATGACCTCCTCATTGTGAATTCTACTGGTCAAGTCTTGTTCTCCTCATTCTAGAAGAGCCATATAATGTATCGTTCAAGTCAGCGGATGCTTGAGATCAAATGAGGGTCCTAGGTGGTGGAGTCCAGAAGATGGCAAGAGAGTGAAGATGTTGGAGTTCCACTGCCCTGTTCCCTACCTAATACCCCTTATTGGCACCTGGTCACTTGAACAGGTATAGATCTCTGAAAAACCAGACGCCTAAAAGTCCTGGGTTAAAAAAACAAACAAAGATTAAACCTAGCTACTTGTAGGTGGCGTATAAAGCCACTTTATCAAGAAAAAGGAAGCTTCCTTTTTACAACCAATAAAAATAGACTGGGTTGGGAAGATGGTGTCAGAGGAGGTTCCCTGCTTCGCTTCTGGGAGGATAATCAAAAGTAGCTTTCGAATCACTGGACCCAGAGGATCCCTTGATTTGAGGAGAAACTAGAGCACCTTCTGAACATTGGAGACCAACACTGACTACAACAGAAGAGACAGAAGAAATTCAATTCTACACAACCAAAGGGGGCAGGGACTCAGTCAGGACAGGAACTAGTTGTGCAATCAGTGTTTCTGTGTTTAGCTAGTGGCTCTGGGGAGGGAAAGCTGATTGTGTGGAGGCGGACAGTCCCTCCACTGAGGGGAGATGCAGGCAGAGGTGCTGGGGTGAGCCAGGTGGGATGAATCCCACCTGGACTGGGCACAGAGAGACCTCCCCTCCCCCGCTCCCCTAGGACTTGAGCTGATCCTGTGAAGTGTCACTTCGCATGACCCTAAGATTCTAGAGATGAAAAGCCACAAAGGAGAGCCATCAGTGGCGACACAAATATAGAGATGGAAAGCCACAGAGGAGAGCCATCAGTGGTGACACAAACATGCGCCACCCTCACTCACCACTTTAACCAGCAACTGCACCACTCCAGGCCCTTCCCCTACCCGGGACTCAAAAGCTACAGATCAGTTCTTCCTGACATACAGCATCATACAATATGAAACACCAAGCCAAGACAAGTTAAAACAAACACAGCGCAAACACGAACACAAAACAACCCCCACAGCACCATCTGCTGGAAAAGGAAGGTTCTGCACCCTTTGGACGCCCCCCCCCCCCCGCAAAAATAGCAAAATAAGCAGAAAACTCCAACATATGAGTCCTCAAGGGAATAGTTTACGTCAGAGAGAGAACAAATCTACAGAGTTCAACCATAAAGTGATCTCTTTTTTGCTATCATATATAGAATTCAAAATTGCCACACCAAGAAATTCAAAGAAATGGACAAAACACAGAAAATCAGAACAGATATATACAAGGAAAATCAGAAAAGCAAATCAATGTCCTAAGAAATAAAATTAGTCAACAGAAATAGAAACTGAAACTTTAAATAATAAAATAATGGAGATGCAGGATGGAAAAAGATCAACAAAGGAGATCAAAAATTCTGAGGAAAGCTGTGAAAGTAGAATAAACCAAATGGAAAATCAAATCAGTGACCTCCACGGTGATAATACATGAAGAATCCAGGTGGGAGAAGAAAACCAACCTAATGAAGCTCACTCCTATTGCACGGAGGTGACTGGACTGTCTGCCTATCAGAATGAAATGGGAGATCCTCTCTGGTGGAGTGAAAATAATTTTTAGCCATTTTCGTCCCTTTATACACAATATACAGCATTCAACTGAAAAAACCCAGGCAGACAAAAATGTTTAATAATCAAGAGAAAAAGTAGACAGTAGAAGCTGACCTATACAGGTACAGATTAGTATATACAATTTTAAAAATAGTTATGGTTAATATTTTGATGAAAACAAGAAAGATGTATGCAACAAATCAAAAAATACAGAATTTTGATAGACAGTTGACTCTATTAAAACTGATTAATGGTACTAAAACTATTAGATGATGATGTAGAGGAATGTCTTTATAACCTTAAGGGTGATGCCAATTTTTAACCTACATACTAAAAAAAAAATAATAATAAAGTGAAAAGTTGATGACTACATCAAATTAAATTTTCTCCCTGGTGAAAGAGACTCTGCACAGTGTTAAAAGACAAGTGTATGTAACCAACTAAAATTTAGTATCCAAAATATATAGGGATGACCTCTACATTATCAAGAGAAAGTTATTTAGTGGGAAAATGAGTCAATACTATGTATAAGCAATTCATAGAATAGAAACTGGAACACCAAATAATCATATGGAGACTCACAATACACCAAATTAGAGAAATGATTAGCCAAAACTTCAGGGAATTTCAAGTGCTGATGAGGAAGGGGACTAGGAAGAGCTCTAACGTACTATCAGGAGGAGCATAAATTTTGCAGAACAATTACATACATTTAGAGAGTTGAGTGTTGAGTATTTGCATAATTTATGACCCAGCCATTCCACCCCCCAGTACTGCCCAGAGAATCACTCACATAAGTACCAAAAGAGATATTAAAATAAAAAAAACAGAAATGATTGTTTATGTTAACATTGTTAGTAATAACAGAGTTATAAAAATGAAAGTGTTTACCAACAGAGAAATAAAGTATAGCATATCTGTAGGATATAATATTAGCAGTATTCAAAAAAATTGAATTAAAGCTACATATTTCAACTTGGAAAGGTCTGAAAATGTGCAATATTGAACAATAAAAACAAAAATAGACTTGAGAAGCAGAATGAGATGTTTCTCTAAGTGTGCATGCAAGCATGTGCGTGTGTGTGAAAA